TGTTTCAGTAATATCTTGCCTTCGTTAACCCTAGACATTTCACAATCCACTTTTCCGTGGTGATTCAGAGACCGACTGGAACCCAACGGACGATTTCCTCGACAAAGCCGACCGCAAGACCGTCCTGATTCCGGAAGACGTTGCTATCGCGTCGGCGGTGCCTGACGCGCTATACTCCATGATTAAACCCAGCGTGAAACCCAGCGAGGTTCGCTCCTACAAGAGTTTGATTCGCGCGAATATTCTTGACGGACTCTACGAGGAGAGCGACATCAAGTCCGCGAAAGATCTGAAGGACGTGAACGGTCGCAAGGTGGATAAATCGAGGGTGAAGATAAAGGGTGGGAAGCTTTTCCGGGGCAAGTTTTTTATCCTCCAGGAGGTGGACTCAGTTCAGCCGTTGCCAGTTTGAACGTTTTGAGTTCACTTGCTCCGCTACATTGCGACGCGTGTTAGTGTTTGGTAACGGAATCACATACCAACGTTGAGAGATTACTCTCCAATTCCAAATTTCTGTGATGTTGAACTGTGAATACCGTAATATGTATTGCTCGGTCCATATGAATGTTGGGAAGTCCATTCAGCATCACATGAAAAACTATAGCCCCAATTCACGGTTTGATCCATCTCCTCCTGGCCTGCCTGAGATAGGATCACTCACATTAGATGTGATACTCTGCTACTCATTTGCCCAAATTGTTGGCAGGTCGCTCAAGTGTATCAAAAATCTATTGTTACCGTTTCTGGAGCTCTGGTTATCAGACAAAATTTGTCTGATGGTCTGAAAATCAGACTTGTTTTTTTATATCTGTATGATTTTTAAGACTTCAGGGAATGAGTCATATGAAATGTCAGACAAGCCTATATTGTTCATCTTTAAATTCAGACTTGGGGCTTATACTTTGTCTGAGAATTCAGAGGACGAGGATTTTTTCGTCTGAAACCAACAAGTTTTCCCACACGCCAACATGGCCTGTTGTTTCCCTGCCGAACCGAGTATCGGCAGCTGACTCAGAAGCTGCCACACAACTGTCGCATTCGCCCCACCTGGTCCTAATGCCAGCTTGAACCACCTTCGGTACTTGGCGTTTTCCGTCCAGCGCACACATTCACGCTGCCATGCTGGTGTCTTGTAGCTAGTAGTCGGTGCCACTCTTCAACTTGTCCTTGCATCCCCCTCCCCCCAACCGTCCAAAGCCATCAGAGTAGAGCGACTTGAGTAAGATGGATGGCATCCCCCCGCTCTCCTCTCCTCTTCCTGCTCCAGTCCCATTCTTCAGTCTGCCTTTTCCTACGCTCGTCCCCGCAACTCTTTGCATTGCGTGTCTGCTGCACTTCTCGAAACCGGACGGTCATGGCATCAAACCCTGGCCCATCTGGCCATTCTCCTACAACCGCTCCGGGTGATGCCCCGCGTCTGACTGCTCTTGATTTCCTGACGCGAGGCGCTAGTAAACTGCCCCTCCCCGCACCAGTTTCGTCGGAAGTCGTACTAGAGCGTAATGAATCCGCCGCGCCAGCCGCCCTGCCACAAGAGTGGGACCACGAACCGTGGTCGCCTCAACGAGAACTGTCACGTTCTCCCCCGCCGTCAAGCACTGGAACTCCAGCAGTGGAGACTAGTGGACCCTCGTCCTCCAAAGGCACGAGGAACGCTAACCCGGTCCTGCCTGCTAAAAGGTCTGGCAAAGCGAAGTACATGCAAAGCAAGCTACCCTTCGCTCGGCCAGCTCCGCTACCAGCAACGCCTGCGACGGTGACCCCCGAGAAACCTAAGTCCCTGTCGACAAAGAAAAGTGCAGAGCTTCCCAAGGTGCTGACCGTGGAAGAGCTGCAGCTCAAATGCAAAGAGCAGTGGCAGCGGTACTTCCCATGGCTGATTATTGGTGAGGACAAGTACGGCCGCCCCGTGATGAAGTGCACCACCTGCCTGTCGTATGCAGACCCGAACTCCAAGTACGGCCGGGATGGGAGTGGCGGTTACAACATCCAGAAGCAGACGATGCGGAAGCATCAACACTCCATCAAGCACGAGGCAGCAGTCAACCAGAAGGAGCGACGTGAAGCGAAGTTGAACGCTCAAAAGACCCTGGAACAATACGGGACGACCGACGAAGCGGCGAGACGCTTGATTCGCCTTCTGGCAGTTGTTCATTACATATGCAAGTCTGACGCCCCGATTGTCATGTTTGTGTCCCTTGTGCAATTCATGGCAGAGCAGGGGACACCTGACATGCCTTTGCGGGAAAACGGAACTTACTACTCTGAGTAAGTGTCTCGCTTCCACCCCGGCATGTGTCTAGCTGCACTCTTTTATGCATTGACGGGAGTAATAACCCATGTTTTTTCATGTGTTTTGCGCAGGTACGGCTTTGCCCAGATGGTTGAGACTCTTGTCACTTACCTAAGGGCGAAGCAGATGGAGCACATCCGCACCTCACCCTTCGTCGGCATTCAACTGGATGAAAGTACAGACAGGCGACGGGGTAAACACATGATCGTTTACTTCACGTTCCTTCGGGATGGCGCGGTCACCACAGAATTCTTCGCGCATCTGACGGTGGACAAAGGCGACGCCGGGTCGCTCATAGTGACTCTCCTCACCCACCTGGAATCCTCTGGGGTGGATCTGCATCGCATATCCGGCATCAGCACAGACGGTGCTAGCGTGATGACTGGCGACAAGAACGGTCTCGTCGCACGCATGCGAACCAAGATTCCACACCTCGTCTCATGCCATTGCATCGCACACAGGTAACATTAGCTTATGTTGCGTGTTTTTTAATTGCCCGAACGTCCTTACTAATACGGGTTCTTCTGTGCTGTGCAGGGAAGCCCTCTCCGCAAAGGATGGAGCCACTGCAGTCCCCGAGATGCAACTCGTTGACAAGGTCGTCCGCTCGCTTGCGGAAGATCTGGGGCGTTCGAGCAACCAACACGGCCGATTCAAGGAGCTGCAGGAGGTTCTTTGCGAGACGAATCTCGAACTGCAAGGAATCCACAGCGTGCGCTGGCTATCGCGCGGTGTGGCGATAGCTCGGCTTGTGGAGTCCCTGCCAGCCGCGATCATCTTCTTGTATGAGTATGATACCAAGGCGTACAAGATCGTCATCTCGTTTAAGTTTCACTTCCTGCTGTTTCTCTTGAATGATGTACTGAAGGAGCTCAACATGCTGAACCTCAAATTTCAAAAGCAGAATGTAAGTTTCTAATTTTGGTGAACGCATGTGTGTAATTACACTCGTCTGTGCGTATGTTAACCTGCCTTCTTTGTTTCCTTGACAGGTCGATGTCACACACGTGCAGCAAGTGACCGAGAACACGAAGATGGCACTCAGGAGTCGCTACCTGTGCGACGATGACAACTTCGGGCATGGCAGCGAGACACTTCTCAAGTTTCTGAAGGCGCATGCGGATGCGGAACAGCGTGAGGTTTCGGTGGATGGAACTGATGCAGAAGGGACGCCCGTCACCCACAAGTACACTCTACATGAAGACAAGATCGAAGGCCAAACCAGCGGCGGGGATCTGACAGCGTGCCTCAAGCTTGCTCGAGACTTCGTCACCGCGATTCTCGGGAGCATGGACTGGCGCTACGAGGACCTCAAGAGCCTGAGCGGCAGCAAGCTCTTCAAGCAGTCACATTACCCACGGTCGCCCAACAAGCGTCAGAGGAAGTGCCTCGCATGGCTCCAGTTGCTGCGGGACTTGTTCAAACGGAAGCCAAGCATGCCAGACACTTTGCCAGGTGAGGGGATTGTAATACTCCCTAAAATCGTTGATTGTTGTCATGTTTTATGCATGTTCATAGAAGCATCATCCGTTGCGTGTTCGTGCGAAGCTTCCCAGGAATTTAAGCCCTGCTATAACCCCTTCCCTACCCCACCTCAGGAGTCAACTGGGCGAAAGCGCAGCGTGAGCTGAAGAACTTCACCACAATCCTCTCCACGCACCACAACGACCTTGAGTTTCAAGAGGGACTGAAGCAGATGCTCTCCACACCCGACTGGACGCACGCATATCCGAACCTTGTGAACCTCTGGATCGCTGTGGCCGTTCTTCCTCTGTCGACGGTCGAGTGCGAGCGCGGATTCTCGCGGCAGAATATTATCAAGAGCTGGCTTCGTGGCAACCTCTGCGACACGAAGCTGTCAGGGCTGATGACGGTGTCCCTGCTGAAGTACGACCTGGACTTCCCCGAGTTGATTAGGCTCTGGCGCTGCAGCAAGAAACGCAGACCGGCCAAGGAGGTGGTGATGGCTGCAGGCTCAAGGCCGGTTAAGCGCTCCAAGAAGGAAAACAAAGCCATGGCGAAAGCGGCAGCAGCATCAGCAGCAGCAGCAGAGGCGGCAGCAGCTGTGGCAGCAGCAGCAAAGGAGAGCGCCAGGGTTGAAGCAGAGGAAGGTGGATGGCAGAGCAGGGGCAAGAAGACCAAAGCCACACCTCCCTTGTTGTACAACCCCTTCGATGAAGAAGAGGACACTGTAGAAAGCAGCAGCAGCAGCAGCAGCAGCAGCAGCAGCAGCAGCAGCAGCAGCAGCAGCAGCAGTAGTGATTCTAGTGACTCAGCTTAGGGATTCCTTCCCTCCTTCCTCCCTCAGTAATGATTCTAATAGTATGTCTGTTCTGTTGTGTGACAACTAGTGGTATATTATTATGAACAAGAGTAAAACGCATGGTATACATACATACAGTACAGAACAGACAGTGCTCTGGTGTGTTCGTCTGAATTCCCAGACTGTGAGTTTTGGCTCGTCTGAGTTTACAGACCGCCAAGAGTTGCTCATATTTTGCTCAGACGAATTTTTTTTAGAGACTTTGGTTTCAGACGGGGCTAAATCCTAGCCAGAGCCCTGTTCTGGATACTGGCGGGTCCTCTTCAAAACTTTCTTGTTGAACAGATGGCAAAACTGATGTTTTTTTCTAAGAAAAAACTCAATTCCAAATCAAAACTCCCATGGCTGTACAGACCCTGGTCACCATGTGGTACTGCACTGCATCTACTCTTTTTTTCTCCTCTCCTGCTGTGCTGCCTTTCTCGCCCTGTGCTTTAGCTCTGCTTTCTTCCACTTCACCATCAGCTCAACTGTACTGATCATTAGTTGCACCTGCACATGCACATACAGAAGTTTGCATGTGCAGATACAAAGCGTGGCATGAGAGAGAGGGGTAGGACGGAAGGAGGAGCGGGGCTGAAGTCTCTTTCTTTCTGCCTCACAATGAGTTTAACTGTACTAATCATTAAATGCAACTGCACATGGTAGATACAAGGAGAGTGCGGCATGGGCTATGATGGGAGGAGGAGCAGGTCAAGTCAGGATCTGCTTTCTTCCACTTCACCATCAATTCAACCATACGGATTATCAATCGCAACTGCGCATGGTATATATAGAAGAGCGAGAAATGGGAGGGGTATGACGGGAAGAAGAGCATACCAGAACAACTATCCCAACGACCAGTATTAGGCCTGAGAAGAGCTAACTTGGGTAGGTCAAGAACCTGACAACGAGCTGTGCCCAGAACTTGGTTTCTTCTCACCAGAATAACAATCCCGATGATGAGTATGGGCCCTGAGAAGAGCTGACCTGGGGAATCTTCCACCAGCCAGTGCACTGCATACCCGTCTCTGCTTACCAGAATGACAATCCCAATGACGAGTATGGGGCCTGAGAAGTGCTGGTTTCGGTCAACCTGACAATTAGCAGTTACCAACACTTAAATCCTGCTTACCAGAATGACAATCGCGATGACGAGTATGGGGGCCTGAGAAGAGTTAACTTGTTCAACCTTCCACCAAACAGTGCACTGCATAACCCCCCTCTGCTTACCAGAATGACAATCGCGATGACGAGTATGGGGGCCTGAGAAGAGTTAACTTGTTCAACCTTCCACCAAACAGTGCACTGCATAACCCCCCTCTGCTTACCAGAATGACAATCGCGATGACGAGTATGGGGGCCTGAGAAGAGTTAACTTGTTCAACCTTCCACCAAACAGTGCACTGCATAACCCCCCTCTGCTTACCAGAATGACAATCGCGATGACGAGTATGGGGGCCTGAGAAGAGTTAACTTGTTCAACCTTCCACCAAACAGTGCACTGCATAACCCCCCTCTGCTTACCAGAATGACAATCGCGATGACGAGTATGGGGCCTGAGAAGAGTTAACTTGTTCAACCTTCCACCAAACAGTGCACTGCATAACCCCCCTCTGCTTACCAGAATGACAATCGCGATGACGAGTATGGGGCCTGAGAAGAACACCGAGACAAAGAGCCCGTATTGGTCGAAGTAGTTCTGGCGGGAAAACAGCTTCCAGTGATGCGCCGCGTACGCGTTTATGTGCTCCGCTAGATAGACTAGTATGGCTGCATGGTTGGATAGGGGAAAGGGGAGAGGAGGGGAGAAAATGGGAGAGGAAGGGAGAGACAGGCGAAAGATACTCCTATGAGAGCAGAGTACGCATTTATGTGCTCCACTAGATACACCAGTACGGCTGCATGGTTGAGGTTGGGGCGGGGGGAAAGGAGGCAGTTACGCAGGGAAAAGGGGAGTAAGTGGGGTTAAAAAGGAGAGGAGGAAGCGCAAGGTAGCGTACGCGTTTATGTGCTCCGCTAGATACACCAGTATGGCTGCATGATTGGATCGGGGAGAGCATGGGAGCGGGCCGGCAGGGGGAGAAAGATATCAATCAACGCGAGGGCAGCGTATGCATATATGTGCTCCGCTAGATACACCTGTATGGCTGCATGACTTCATGGAAGGGCGTGGGGGGAACGGTAGAGGGGAGCAAGAGAGAGGGGAGGAGAGGGTCTCGGGGGGAGTCGGGGGTTAAAAGAAAATATGTACAGATTGCGTTTGAATTACATCAGTATGGCATGGTTTAGAGTGGGTGCACCAGAATACTACAGTATATGGGTGGGTTGGTAGCTTGCAGATGGGTAGGTTGGGAGGGTTGCAGATGGGTGGGTTGGAGGAGGACGGAGGAATGGAGGGAGTTTGCGAGCGGGCGAACAGAGAGGGAAGAATTGGGGTGGATCAAGGTAGAAGGGCATACTCAGTCAGACAGTACCGCGACCACAAGCCGGTTTGAATGGTTTAGGACGGTACAAATCAGTGAGGGGCAATCAAGGATAGGGCTGTAAGTTCAATCGTAGTGCACCCCTTGAATGCACTCAATGCACACATGGCGAAGGGTGGGAGGTGAAAAATCTGCCATTGCCGTGTGTGAGGGGGACAAACAGATGGAGGGATCCGTCCTGGAAGAGCACGTTCTCTCAAACGACACGTGGCTACACACGTGCACTCACCTGGACACGTGCACTGGCCACGTGCAATTACACGTGGCCTCACCTGGCCACGTGCAATTACCACGTGCACTCACCTGGCCACGTGCAAACCACGTGCACTCACCTGGCCACGTGCACTCACCGCAGAAGGCGAAGACGATGAACTGGAAGTTCTGCCATCGGCGAGTGAGGAGGACCATGAGAAGCAACGCGGCGTGGAACGACAGCAGCCCGATGATCCATGGCTCCTGCGATTCGTCACCGAGCCGCGCGAACGGCGGAAAGATCGGAATGACGGCCGTGAGAATTCTAAGAAACAGACTGCCTAGGAAAGAACGAAAAAAACAGCTACATCCATGCATGCTACGCGTGACTGAGGATTCCAACCAGCTGATCCGCTCAAAGATACGCCAATATCAGGTGTGGAAGAGGGTCTCACCGTCCAATCAACGGCGTGGATGAACGCCTGGATCTGGTCGGTGATCGGAGGGCCGTCGGTAACCTCTTTCCATTTCGACTTGAGCGCATCTGAGAAACTCTGGATTAAATTCTCGAACTCGTCCATCTCAACAGATTCTACCCTAGCGAGTGTTCGCGTGTGAGAGCAGAAGCAGGAAGGGGGGAGGATGCGCGTGTGAGAGGCAGCGGTTGTCACGGTTCTGTCGATTGGGTTGTCAGACCATCCGTAATGACTGATCGTTTGGTCTAGACTGGGCGTGTAAAATTGTTACGACCAAACGCTATGGTCGATAATTTGGGCGTTTCTGGCGATTGCGAGGAATTAGGGTTACGCTGATGCGATTAGTCACCCCGGTCTGACTCATTTTCAGTGGTAATTTCGGAACAGAGGTTTTCGCACCGCTTTTTGGGACAAGATTTAACTGATCTCAGCGGGGGTATATGTTTTTTTCCGTTTACCTAAACCCACTTCTTTGGTAAACACTCTAGTCTAGGCTTCAGATCCCCCGTATTCCACACCCCTTTCGAATGTAGTAAGGGAATCGAAACATTTCCTTTTTAATTAAGAGGGTGGTTTGGGGTGGGTGCTCCAAATGCTGACGAATTTTTTGGCGGGTTTCGCTTAAGTGTTACATATTTCGCACTCGCCAGCAACGCCCAAATGATCGACCATAGCGTTTGGTCGTAACAATTTTACACGCCCTTAGGAGGATATGTTGTGAGAGGATTTGCTATACGCGTCACAGCGAGACCAATCTACGATTTGTGGAACATCGACAGCGCAGGATGCAAACTGCAGAACAATAACCTTGAAGCTATGACCATTGCCTTGGGGTTCAGGCTCCAGCCTACGAGAACGAGGGAAATTCCGAGTGTAAGGAGAGTAAGCACAGCAACGAAAGGCCTTCTATCGAACTCGTCTGACAGACGAACCATCGGGCAGGTTCGTAGCCGACACGGTGGTGGGGTGGATGCTCTCACCTCACCTCACCTCCAAAAGTCTTCTCAAGGTTCCGAGGCGAGTTCCAGGGGCCTGGGTTTGAACCCGATAGCGAACCTCGAGCTCCTGATGGCATGTAACGAATATGAAATATTCGTACTTGTTCCCGGTTGTAGAATGTTCTTGGTGATACCACCCGGAACTTGGTCATCGAACCTGTTTATAAGCACGCCCTGAGAAGAAGACTCAGTGGTATTGAACTGGGTTCTCCATCCACGGACCCTTCAAGCTGATCACACAGTTCAACGCTTTCTAGATTCTAGACCCAGACGCTACCTTGTTACGACGACACGATTTACGCAAGGCCGTTACCATCCATTTTTTATCATCCAGGTTTCTTGCTAATTTACTTGTTCACCAGGAGCCGCAATCATGTTACGGTCGTGTCTGACGAAAAATCTTTTAGCTCGCACTGAGTTCGGTCATTTCAGGCTCAGTTGAAAGCTGTTACATCCCATCCTGTCTCTTTTGTCCTCGTCGCTGCAGGTTTGCGTTTTCTGTCTTCTCCCTCTCTTCCTACTGCCTCTAGTCAATATCCTCCCTCGTCTGTGGGACAAACTAATTGTAAGTCGCCACTGCTTATAATCAACGAATCCCTCCCAGACAGCTCCTCAGTCAGCTGCTTGGTTTGGTACAGTGTTCCTTCTTTTATATCAGTTTGCGACATCGTTTTACGCTAATCTTCTTACGTAGTTCATTTGATGCGATGCACTGTACCTCTCCGGATTCGTCCGCTTATCGCCATCGTATCGTCCTCGTACTACTATCGCCATGTCGCTGCAGGTGCTCTTCTTCCGTCTGATTGGCCGAGAGTACAATCCTCCGCTTCGAGATGGCCCGTCCTGTCCGTACAAGCCGGGAGCGAGAAAAGCTCTACCAGTAAGAACACTCCATTTTATGACTCTGTTTGACTATCCATTGTCCGGCCCCCTCTTCTTCTCCCCCTCCCTCCCCTCCCCCTTCCTTCCTCCCAAACCAATCCCCCCCTTCCCTCCCCATCCCGCCCCATCCCCATGCTCCTTCCCCTACCCTCTCGCCTCCCGCAAACGCCCTTTGTCACACGTCCCGCCTCCCTTGCGGCTAGTTTTTTTTTTTGTTTTTTTCTCGCTTCGTCCATGCGTCCTACCCTCGCTGCCGCACCTGGCCACATCTTCTTTCCTCTTTGCTGCAATTTGTTTTCCTAACAACTTAGTTATTTCCCACACACCCCTGAATCGTCTCGTTTCTGGCAGGAGGCTGAGCCCATATTGGCAAATGGTGAAGGAAGTGCAGTAACTGGGATTGCCGAGTCAAAGAAAGGCTCTTAACAAAACTGGTTCCTCTTACCCACGTTGCCATTCTGTGTATAGGTAATTGGTGTCATTAATTTTGTTTCACGTTATTGCTGTTGCTGCTGTAGTAATATATTTTAGTTAGTAGATATGAAGAACTCATACGGCACGTAATGGACAAACTTTATCCTATCAATAACTCAACTTGATCCACCACCGGTCCACCGCTCACAGTTACAGCCAAGAAGTTTGTAGTGTTCACTTAGTAAGCTAAACATGGTTTACTGCTCGAGTTTAGCAGCTTACGCGTCTTCATCAACATTGTCAATGGTCAGCCGCTTCTTGTCAGATGGAAGAGGCAGATTGAGCAAGACACGGCAGAAGAACTCGTGCTCCATCTCCAGTGCTGCCTTGATGTTGTCCGCCTGCCATGTCATGTCACCATGTACGGGTACGTACCATTGTTGAATCTATGCATAAAATCACAATGCTGCTGTGGCATACCTGTACCATGAAGATTTGCAGAGTGCATTGCTTACACAAACCAATTCCAGGCTAGCAGCAAAGGTATTTACCAGAAAACGTACCAGAAACCCATGACTTCAACTCAAACCATTCAACCTCGTGAGACAAAAACTCACCTTAGCTTATGCAGAAAAGGTATCAGAGACCTCTAACTTACTTTTGCCCTTGGTTCTCGCATCTTCATCCTTGCTATGGTCACCATTTTTTCTGGTTCGAACCCCAAACTACACATAGACAATATAGTCACGCGGCTTCACCATACTCACATTTCTGAAGCCGTGGTCTTCATCTGGGAACTCCACAATTGCCACGGGCAGCCCCTTGGCCTTCACTGCAGCGTGCATGGCCTAAGCTACACTCGCATTACAATCACAACTCCTCACGCAGTCACTATACTCACACGGCTTCACCATACTCACATTTCTGAAGCCGTGGTCTTCATCTGGAAACTCAACGATAGCCACCGGCAGCCCCTTTGCCTTCACTGCTGCGTGCATGGCACGGGCCTGGTCGGGACTCACCACCTGGCAAGGCAGAGGGATCAGGATGCAAGGGACGAGATGGGAGTAGAAAGATGGTATTGAGGCAGCCAGACAGACAGACTGATTCTTGGCTTTCACACCTCAAGCTTACCAGAGTTTTTTTGCTTGTTTGTTTGTTTTTTGTTTAGCAACGTGCCAAGAAACATACACGCCTCTGCGTGGCTTAGCTTGGCACAGGTCTGACTGTAAGTCAGAGCCTCGCATATTCACTGTCCCTGGCCTTCAAACAGTTCAACTTCATTTCACATGGAACGTGTCAGCACTCAATCCTCCTCGTCGTACCTGGTCTTTAAGTCCCTGCAGCAGCAGCAATGGGCATGGTAGCTCGTCCACCTGTACAGTTTCTTACGTGTATAAACCTAACTTATAAGAACTCCCAACTTTCTCACCATACCTGGTCTTTAAGTCCCTGCAGCAGCAGCAAGGGGCATGCGAGCTTGTCCACATGGTTGATCGGGGAACGTTCCTTGTACAGTTGCTTTCCCTGTATACAACCTGCTTGTATACACTTCTCACCATACCTGGTCTTTAAGTCCCTGCAGCAGCAGCAAGGGGCATGCGAGCTTGTCCACATGGTTGATCGGGGAACGTTCCCTGTACAGTTGCTTTCCCTCAGGTACGGTGCTGGGGAGAGAGGAGAACAGCGCTAAAACAATCTCACAGTACCTGGTCTTTAAGTCCCTGCAGCAGCAGCAAGGGGCATGCGAGCTTGTCCACATGGTTGATCGGGGAACGATCCTTGTACAGCTGCTTTCCCTCAGGAGTGTTGTATGGCGCTGGGGGATTGGAAGAAAGAGGGGGGAGAAGCAGACGACTTTCAACTTCTGAGGCATACTTACCCTCCATACCCAGTAGTGCATTCTCAAAAGAGAATTCATGAATTTTTGCCGAGGAATTAAATACATGAGCGCCCCACTTTCTACATTTTTTCATCATCTATATAACACTGATTGATTTAGCCTTTTACACACCATAACGAAAGCAAAGACAGTATGTCAAAGCTCATATGCTGTAAAAAAAATTGCCTGGAAGTGCACTGGCAGGAGACGCTTAAACAAGGTGAGTTATGATCTTAAGAAATAAAGAACTCACCAACAAGTGTATCAGTGTAGTGCATTTCAAACTTGTGCATCATTTGAGCCAGAGCCTCGAGATCCCCGATCTGCTCAATGCCAGGAAGGAGAACAACAGATTTCACAACTGCAAGGGATGACCATAGTACATGACGTCCCTATCGGCCTAATGCAGATCGCAATGGAAGGGAAGGGATACATGTATGCATGCAGACTAAGTCTTCAGATCGCCTAATGCATGTAGGTTTAGGCGGGTTCGAGCTAGAATGCATGCAGACTGAGTAGGTAAATGGTGAAAAGAGTTTGCTAAAAGGCCGGAGACGATGGCCGAAACGGCAACGTTAAATAATAATGTTAGTGATTGTTCAACCCGAACATGGCGAGAGAGAAGGAGCAGCTGGTCAGAGCGGGCCTTACCCCGTACAGGGAGCATCCAGCCTTGAAGGTGGAACGGAACGTGAGAGCAGAGAGGGTGGTGAAGCCCCCTGCTGATGAGCCATCTATGGCCACCCTGCTGCCATCCACCAGCCCTGCACGCACCTGGGGGGGAAGATGGAGGGGAGACAGATGGGAGTGAGTAGGCAGACAAGGAGCAGTTGAGGCGTGTCAAAGCCGAGAGGGCGGTGAAGCGGCATGCTGATGATCCATACGGTGCTGAAAACTCGTGAAGCACATACTATGTGAAGCAAGCACATGCTAAGTGAGTAGTAGCAGCTGAGCAGAGTGGGTACAGAGAGGAAGGGGTACCAGGTAATCAATGCAGCAGCATGCATCGTCAACGTCCATCACGCCCCATTGCCCAAGTGCGTTTTGAGTCAACTCAATGCACACCTGAACACAAAGACCAAGCAGTTTTGAGGCGCCTCAAAAGTGGGTACACAGGGGAAGCGGTTACCAGGTAATCGACGCAGCAGCATGCATCGTCAACGTCCACCACTCCCCACTGCCCATGCAGCCGCTCCCTGTACTCCCGGCCATACCCTGGTGTGTGGTGTGAGATGGGATGGTGGGTTGTGAGGTGCATGGCATGGAAAGGGATGGCATGGAAAGGGATGGCACGGGATGGCATGGAATGGGATGGCATGGAATGGGATGGCATGGGATGGGATGGCATCGTCAACATCCACCACGCCCCATTGACCACGCAGCCGCTCCCTATACTCACGGCCGTACCCTGTTGTGTGGCATGGCATGGGATAGCATGGCGGGCGAACATCGCGAGGGGTGTTGACATGCCCCAAAAGGCAAACATGGCATGGCAGTAAGACTTTGTGACATGGCAAACCGATAATACCACCCCCCATTGTAGACGTCCGTCCATTACACCACAGGAGAGCCGCTGACCGGAAGTCCATAATTGCAGGTGATGCAGCAGCACCATCACACAAGCAGCAGCGGAGGGATGTCTAGGGCTGGTGGTGTGGTGTCATACCACACCATCAGCATAACCACCAGCACCGTCACACCACCCTCATCTCACAGCATAACCTGTGCTGCCCCCGTAGTTCACGTCCGGAATTGCAGGCGGTGTGGCACTGCATAACCACCAGTGCTACACCCATCCCTCATCAGCTCACTGGTTCGATGCCCCCCACCCACCCCACTCACCAGTGCTGCACCCGTAATTCACGTCCAGAATTGCAGGCGATGTGGCACTACCTTAGCATAACCACCAAACCACCAGTGCTACACCCACGGTTGTGGCCCATCCCTCATCAGCTCAGTGTACGATGCCCCCCACCCACTCACTCACCAGTGCTGCCCCCATTATTCACACTCAACCACAGCAAAGTTGATGGACATCAGACCTCCGCAGCCCACCTGTTTACAAATTACAGCACCTGCCCCCATTATTCACACTCAACCACAGCAAAGCCTCTGGACGTCCAGAGCTGCAGACGATGATGCAACAGTGACTGAGGCTCCACCAGTGCTTTCCCCACCACCCCCATCTCACTCACCCGTGCTGCCCCCATACTTAACATCCACCACAGCAAAGCCTCTGCACGTCCAGAACTGCAGATGCTGCAGCCGAGGCATTGATAAGGCTAAGCAGAAGTACCTTGTAGTACCACCCGCATCTCACCAGTACTGCCCCCATAGTTCACATCCACCACAGCAAAGCCTCTGGATGTCCAGAACTGCAGGTGAAGTGGGTGTGGAAGTTGGTGTGTTTTTCTGCCTTAATTTCACTCACCAGTACTTCCCCCATAATTCACATCCACCACAGCAAAGCCTCTGGAAGTCCAGAAATGCAGTGGCAGGCGGAGGGCGGAGTGGAGTGTGTTGTGTTGCTCCCATCCCACTCACTCACCAGTGCTGCCCCCATAATTAACGTCAACGACAGCAAAGCCTCTGGAAGTCCAGAATTGCAGTGGCAGGCGGTGAGCTGAGGTATGTCTATGCATATCCACCGTTCACATTACCTCACCTCTGCCCAATACCACTCACCCGTGCTGCCCCCATAGTTGACATCCACGACAGCAAAGCCTCTGGAAGTCCAGAACTGCAGCGGCAGGGAATGCAGCACCACCAGTGCTACCCCACCACCACCACCATCCCACTCACCAGTACTACCACCATAATTGACGTCAACGACAGCAAAGCCTCTGGAAGTCCAGAACTGCAGCGGCAGGGAATGCAGCACCACCAGTGCTACCCCACCACCACCATCCCACTCACCAGTACTACCACCATAATTGACGTCAACGACAGCAAAGCCTCTGGAAGTCCAGAACTGCAGCGGCAGGGAATGCAGCACCACCAGTGCTACCCCACCACCACCATCCCACTCACCAGTACTACCACCATAATTGACGTCAACGACAGCAAAGCCTCTGGAAGTCCAGAACTGCAGCGGCAGGGAATGCAGCACCACCAGTGCTACCCCACCACCACCATCCCACTCACCAGTACTACCACCATAATTGACGTCAACGACAGCAAAGCCTCTGGAAGTCCAGAACTGCAGCGGCAGGGAATGCAGCACCACCAGTGCTACCCCACCACCACCATCCCACTCACCAGTACTACCACCATAATTGACGTCAACGACAGCAAAGCCTCTGCAAGTCCAGAACTGCAGCGGCAGGGAATGCAGCACCACCAGTGCTACCCCACCACCACCATCCCACTCACCAGTACTACCACCATAATTGACGTCAACGACAGCAAAGCCTCTGCAAGTCCAGAACTGCAGCGGCAGGGAATGCAGCACCACCAGTGCTACCCCACCACCACCATCCCACTCACCAGTACTACCACCATAATTGACGTCAACGACAGCAAAGCCTCTGGAAGTCCAGAACTGCAGCGGCAGGGAATGCAGCACCACCAGTGCTACCCCACCACCACCATCCCACTCACCAGTACTACCACCATAATTGACGTCAACGACAGCAAAGCCTCTGGAAGTCCAGAACTGCAGCGGCAGGGAATGCAGCACCACCAGTGCTACCCCACCACCACCATCCCACTCACCAGTACTACCACCATAATTGACGTCAACGACAGCAAAGCCTCTGGAAGTCCAGAACTGCAGCGGCAGGGAATGCAGCACCACCAGTGCTACCCCACCACCACCATCCCACTCACCAGTACTACCACCATAATTGACGTCAACGACAGCAAAGCCTCTGCAAGTCCAGAACTGCAGCGGCAGGGAATGCAGCACCACCAGTGCTACCCCACCACCACCATCCCACTCACCAGTACTACCACCATAATTGACGTCAACGACAGCAAAGCCTCTGCAAGTCCAGAACTGCAGCGGCAGGGAATGCAGCACCACCAGTGCTACCCCACCACCACCATCCCACTCACCAGTACTACCACCATAATTGACGTCAACGACAGCAAAGCCTCTGGAAGTCCAGAACTGCAGCGGCAGGGAATGCAGCACCACCAGTGCTACCCCACCACCACCACCATCCCACTCACCAGTACTACCACCATAATTGACGTCAACGACAGCAAAGCCTCTGGAAGTCCAGAACTGCAGCGGCAGGGAATGCAGCACCACCAGTGCTACCCCACCACCACCATCCCACTCACCAGTACTACCACCATAATTGACGTCAACGACAGCAAAGCCTCTGGAAGTCCAGAACTGCAGCGGCAGGGAATGCAGCACCACCAGTGCTACCCCACCACCACCATCCCACTCACCAGTACTACCACCATAATTGACGTCAACGACAGCAAAGCCTCTGGAAGTCCAGAACTGCAGCGGCAGGGAATGCAGCACCACCAGTGCTACCCCACCACCACCATCCCACTCACCAGTACTACCACCATAATTGACGTCAACGACAGCAAAGCCTCTGGACGTCCAGAACTGCAGCGGCAGGGAATGCAGCACCACCAGTGCTACCCCACCACCACCACCATCCCACTCACCAGTACTACCACCATAATTGACATCAACGACAGCAAAGCCTCTGGAAGTCCAGAACTGCAGCGGCAGGCGCAGGGCGGAATCAAGGCACCCCGTGGGGCCGCCGTGGCACTTCACCAGCAGAGGGGGCAGCGCCCCCTCCGGCCCTTGATAGGTGCCGCTGGCAGGTGGGTAGAAGAGCGCATGGGCCGTACGGTTGGGTGCAGAGGAGTGTGGTGTGGTGTGAGGTGCATCGGCTGGTGAGGTTGCTTGGGCTGGTGGGGTGGTGGTGGGGAATTCGATCCATTGAGGTGAGGAGAGGAAGGGGGAGAGGGATGTGGTGTCGATGGTTGTTGATGGACGGATGGGCGGGTGGATGACCTGTAGAGAGGTCATATCTGGGGAGGGTTTTAGCTGCAGGAGTGGGGTGGGTTGGGCGTAGAAAGGGCAGTAGGCACAAAATGATCATGCTCTAGATTTTAATTAACGTATACATAATGGAATGTTTTTTCAGAAACCCACAAAATTTTCCGGCAATGTGTGAGTGAGCTGTAACAACATAATCCACTTGTTATTCGTACACAGACCGCAAGGAAGTAAGCTTTTGTTGGAACGCCTTCAAAGAGACATACTTAGAACTAGCCATGACCATGCCTCACTTGTCGAGAGTACATGAGGGGTTCATATGTAATGGGAAACAGCAGCAGTGAATAGGTACCGCACAGAACCGCATTGAAGCACAGGATTAAGACACAGCAACGGGTACCTCAAAGAACGAGAGAGGGGTGGAGGGGCCGCCAGCACACAGAAAAAGACGATCCTTGCCGGCCACCTGCTCACAGGAATTTGTGTTCGCAAGGGGTAGTGGAATGAGATAATGAGGTATTCTGAACTCTAGTAGGAAGAGTAAAAAAAGCCACTTTTGAGAATTCTCAAAAGTGATTTCCACGTAGGGAGAGTTGAAGAGGCTTCAAAAAGAAGCTCCCTTAAAAAAATCAGGATAAGGATGGCTTTAAAGAAGCTCTTGAATGACATGGGAGAACCTAGATCCACGTGGCAGCAAGTGTTTCCACGTGGCAATCAGCTCTTACATGTGGCAGTGATGGGAAAGCACTTACCAGGTGCGACATCTGAGTGAGAGGAGGGTAAGTGGGAGGAGTGAGTGTGAAGGAGCGAGTGTGAGTGTCGATGACTCCCAGCTGAGACTGCCCCTTCACTCTGAGAGGAAGAGGGGGGGAGGGAAAGAGGAAGTCTGGTATGGAAGGAGTGAGAGTGAAGATGCAAGGGGAAGAGCGGGAGTGTGAGAGGATCGTTTGAGTGTGAGTGTCACTGATGACTCCCACCTGGGACTGCCCTTTCGCCCTGAGAGAAAGGGGGGAAGGGCGAAAAGAAGTGTGGAAGTGAAGCAGTGAGTGATTGGGTCGGTGTTGCTCGTAATAGAGAATAAGGATCGGGCTAATTTGGATGGTTTGGGATGTCATTCGACCCAAGGCTACTTCTGGGCATAGGCTGTTAGAGGGCCCTACGACAGCAAGGGCCCTCGACGACTTGGCAAGACAACTACGCTAAGACGGGCATTGAAAGACACCAACGCAAGGAGTGCGCTGATGTCGCGCGACTACTGCAGTGCCAATGAAGTTTGTGCTGGGGTGCTGCTAGTCTAGGGAAGTTGTGAGCACGATTCTGGGGAAGCGTGCCACTTCCTAGTAAGTCAGTGGGCGTCATATCTGGTGTTGCCGAGTTGGATTTGGTGTTGGCTGGGGTGGCGTGTGAAAGGCCATTCCGCTGCTGAGTTGGGTTGAAATTGTACGAGGCGCGTTCAACCCACCTGCACACCACTTTCGTGGGGTTGGGTTACTGCGCAGCACCACGCCAGGTTTGTGAAACTCTCCCGTAGCCTATATCTATCTTGTGTGTTTGCTTTTGTATTCATAGTTCATATTACAATTCTGCTTGGCCCAAATGCTACTTCAATTCTCTCTAAGTCCATAGAGACGCACTACCAAAACTCTATCGAGTTGCTGGCGCAACATCGTTCTCACAGCAGAAACTCTCTTGCTATCGCTACGCTCTCTAATATATTCCTTCATAGGCAGTGCAGTCGATTTAGACAGTGCAGTAGCCTATAGTAACCGAAGTAGGCTATCTCTGAGTCGACCATGTGTAGTGAGGCGATTTTTAAGGCGCCTAAAAAAGCGTCTTACGGTGCAGTGCATTAGCGAAATAACGCACAGTCTACTTCTGAGTCGGCAAAATAAAAAGCCCTGTGCCAGGTAGTCAAACGCATACTCGCAAATAACAACTCACTGGCATATGACAGCCACGAGGTGTGAGCTGCCAGGAAGGAACGGGTAGCTCACGTTCCTTCAAGTAGCAATGCTATAACTGCAGCTATACTATACCTTATCGGCACACTCACTGGCAGATGACTGCGACGTGGTGCGAGCTGCCAGGGATAAACGCGTAGCTTGCATTCCCAAACACCCACAGCGGTCCCCCAACCTCCACCATCAGGTCTTCACCACCTTGCTTCGGCATGCCTGCCACTGCTTCTGCTGTGCCTGATGCGGGGTTCTGCAGCGCAGAGATCAGGGGGAAAGAGGGAGAGAGAAAGCATCTTTCAAGGATAACAGAACGAACACCCACAGGGGTCCCCCAACCTCCACCAGCAGATCGGCTCCGTCGTGCGTTGGCATGTCTGATACCGCTTCTGCTGTACCTGATGCAGGGTTCTACAGATAAAGTTTGAGAATTCTCAAAAGGGGGAGGGAGTACGGAGAAAGCAGATTCAAAGGTTACGGGAACACCCGAGGACGTTCATCAGTTTCCCACCCGAGGAAGGACACCTCAGCTGAACATAGAATGCACGGTAAGAAAGAATAGCACCTACAACGACACCTGACGAGATAACGACCGGCCACATACCACCTAGAACGACATCTGAGCAAGTATCAATCAAACAGATGTTACCGGAACAGATAAACACAAGTCACCCGGATAGATATCACCCGGACAAATGCCACCTGCGCAGGAGTACCCACCCATTGGTGCAGAGCCCAGAAGCCAGAGTGTCGATCCGAGAGGAAATAGAGATCGCCTGGAGGGATAAGAGAGAAGGAAAGGAGGGGAGAGAGTTAAGGGGAGAGGGGAGAGCGGTAATCAGTGGTTACCAGCAGGGCAAATCGGCCTTGGGTGACAAAGTGCAGAGAATGGTGATGCCACTCCATTCCACCACACCGACACCAGTTACTGCAATACTATTCAATACCAGTTACTTGTGCCATGCGAGGGTACGAGGTGACTAGAGGGGTACGAGAGGAGCCCCTCTAGTTGCTGCTCTCTCTTTCCATGGTATTTCGCGGCAACGAGAGGGGTTACATGGTGTTTCCACTGTGGCATCATATACCTGCTCCTGCTGCTGCTACCCATACGTGCAATGCCCTTAGAAAATGCTGGTTACCATGTAAAAAAGGATTCTTTCTTTCATTACCTTGTGGCGACCAAAGGGGTTCCATGGGTGCTTCAGCCACGGCAGCATCCGCTCCTGCTGCACACTGCACGGCAGTGAGGAGACTGAAGGGGGCAGGTGGGCCGAGGCGAGGCGTGGGAGAGATGAAAAGGAAAGGGGATACAGGGGAAAGGGTTCATTGACTTGTCTCTGCACATCGCATTGACACGAGGGGGACACGGGCTCCGATTCATCGACTGGCTTAGAGCGGGCGGCTTTTTCAGTCAACTCAGAAATCGTGTTCCTGCTGCACCGGCTGCTCTCCCAAGGAACGTTCTGACTTTTGAATCGTTCAAAAGTCACCCCTGATGTCAGGGGCAGAATGGAGTGACACCAACCCACCCACAGTCCCATACCATGCCTAGCCATGGCACAGAAAGTGCAAACAGACCTATGAGTCATGACAAACCCATCATCATCAGACGTCCACACCATCATGCGGCGGCTTCTCTCCCACCCAGAGTCCCGTACCATACCATGCCATGCCACAGAAGCACACATACCCACCACACAGATCCATGACTTACCCATCACCATCAAATGCCCACACCATCATGTGGCGGCTTCTCTCCCACCCAGAGTCCCGTACCATACCATGCCATGCCACAGAAGCACACATACCCACCACACAGATCCATGACTTACCCATCACCATCAAATGCCCACACCATCATGCGGCGGCTTCTCTCCCACCCAGAGTCCCGTACCATACCATGCCATGCCACAGAAGCACACATACCCACCACACAGATCCATGACTTACCCATCACCATCAAATGCCCACACCATCATGTGGCGGCTTCTCTCCCACCCAGAGTCCCGTACCATACCATGCCATGCCACAGAAGCACACATACCCACCACACAGATCCATGACTTACCCATCACCATCAAATGCCCACACCATCATGCGGCGGCTTCTCTCCCACCCAGAGTCCCGTACCATACCATGCCATGCCACAGAAGCACACATACCCACCACACAGATCCATGACTTACCCATCACCATCAAATGCCCACACCATCATGCGGCGGCTTCTCTCCCACCCAGAGTCCCGTACCATACCATGCCATGCCACAGAAGCACACATACCCACCACACAGATCCATGACTTACCCATCACCATCAAATGCCCACACCATCATGCGGCGGCTTCTCTCCCACCCAGAGTCCCGTACCATACCATGCCATGCCACAGAAGCACACATACCCACCACACAGATCCATGACTTACCCATCACCATCAAATGCCCACACCATCATGCGGCGGCTTCTCTCCCACCCAGAGTCCCGTACCATACCATGCCATGCCACAGAAGCACACATACCCACCACACAGATCCATGACTTACCCATCACCATCAAATGCCCACACCATCATGCGGCGGCTTCTCTCCCACCCAGAGTCCCGTACCATACCATGCCATGCCACAGAAGCACACATACCCACCACACAGATCCATGACTTACCCATCACCATCAAATGCCCACACCATCATGCGGCGGCTTCTCTCCCACCCAGAGTCCCGTACCATACCATGCCATGCCACAGAAGCACACATACCCACCACACAGATCCATGACTTACCCATCACCATCAAATGCCCACACCATCATGCGGCGGCTTCTCTCCCACCCAGAGTCCCGTACCATACCATGCCATGCCACAGAAGCACACATACCCACCACACAGATCCATGACTTACCCATCACCATCAAATGCCCACACCATCATGCGGCGGCTTCTCTCCCACCCAGAGTCCCGTACCATACCATGCCATGCCACAGAAGCACACATACCCACCACACAGATCCATGACTTACCCATCACCATCAAATGCCCACACCATCATGCGGCGGCTTCTCTCCCACCCAGAGTCCCGTACCATACCATGCCATGCCACAGAAGCACACATACCCACCACACAGATCCATGACTTACCCATCACCATCAAATGCCCACACCATCATGCGGCGGCTTCTCTCCCACCCAGAGTCCCGTACCATACCATGCCATGCCACAGAAGCACACATACCCACCACACAGATCCATGACTTACCCATCACCATCAAATGCCCACACCATCATGCGGCGGCTTCTCTCCCACCCAGAGTCCCGTACCATACCATGCCATGCCACAGAAGCACACATACCCACCACACAGATCCATGACTTACCCATCACCATCAAATGCCCACACCATCATGCGGCGGCTTCTCTCCCACGGCATGTGCGGGTGGCTCCATTTCATCCACAATCCCATGCCCATGCCATGCCATGCCATGCCATGCCATGCAATGCCATGACGCACGCACGCACACAGACATACACATACCCACGACTTACCCATCATCATTGAACGTCCCAACCATAACCCGGCTCCTCTCCCACGGCATGTGCGGGTGGTCCCACTCAATCCACGCCAGCTGCCTGGCTACCCTAACCCATGGAATCACCACACACACATACATTCATGCCAATGTCATGCCATGCCATGACACCCATTACACATACCCATCGTCATCGAATGCCCCCACCATCACCCGACTCCTCTCCCATGGCATGTGCGGGTGGTCCCACTCCATCCATGCCAGCTGGGTGCCATCCGGACTCAGGCGTGGGGATGCGTAGAAGTCTGCTCCAGATGCCAGCACCACGGGGACTGGAAGGGGGGGGAGGAGGGGGAAACGAGGTTGAAGGGGACCCGGTCTGGCTGTGCAAAGCGGCTCCACTCCATCCACTCCACCTGCCTGCTATCGGGACTCGGGCGTCGCGAGGCATAGAAGTCTGCTCCACTCGCCAGCACCAGGGGGACTGGAAGAGTTGAGGGTCGGAGGAGGGTGAATGCGAGGAGAAATTATCTTAAACGAATGGCTCACACGCGTGGTGACGTGAGACGAAATCCCCATGATCCCCATGCCTTTGATTGACTCAAGAGTGAGGTACAAGCAGGTTACCAACCCACCTTCAGACCCATCGCTGTCCATAGAAACTGCCACAATCATGTTACTCAGCTCCTTCTCCTCTGTTCCACTGCCGCCACCGTTGATTTGGCGATGGTCTGACAACCAGAGCATGGAAAAGGGCAACGAAAATGGGCGGAAAAGGGACCCACCTTCAGTCCCATCGTTGTCCAGAGAAACTGCCACAATCATGTTACTCGGCTCGCCATGGCCCCTGTGCTCCTCTGTTCCACTGCCCCCGCCACCGTTGATCTGGCGATGGTCTGCCATTTAGAGCATGAAAAAGGGCAATGGAAAGATGCAAGGGAAAGAGGCAAGGGAAAGAGGCAAGGGAAAGATGCAAGGGAAAGATGCAAGGGAAAGATGCAAGGGAAAGAGGCAAGGGAAAGATGCAAGGGAAAGATGCAAGGGAAAGAGGCAAGGGAAAGATGCAAGGGAAAGATGCAAGGGAAAAAGGCAAGGGAAAGATGCAAGGGAAAGATGCAAGGGAAAGATGCAAGGGAAAGATGCAAGGGAAAGATGCAAGGGAAAAAGGCAAGGGAAAAAGGATCAGGAACGAAAGGAGCTTGACAATGGCAATGACTTCGAATGGACTACAAGGGATTTCGAAGTCGTTGCAATGACTTGGAATGAATTGAGCTTGTAGGAGGCAGGTTGTAGTACAACGGGTTTGAGAGAACCGGTTTAATTTTCACACATCCCAGTACCAATTTCTGCAACGGCGGAGTACGAAGAAGGACCAAGGCAATGCAATGGATTCGGCATTCAGGACGCAGTAGGAAAGAGAGCTCCTAATTACCCCGCGCCTTCTCGAGCAAGCCTTGAGCCATCGCAAAACTCACCCTCCTGCACGCATATCACTCGTGCTCCTCTTCCCAGACGTCTCAGACATCCTGCTCTGCTCCCACACCACTGCAGTCCGTTTCTCAGAACCAAAAGGGTACTCGCGGTCCGCTTCCCAAACATCTCAAAACTCACCCTCCTGCACGCATATCACTCGCCTCCGGTGTGCGTCCAACCGGGCGTCAGCGAATCGCAGCGCGCTAGGTGGCTCCACGACAGGGGTCAGCGGACGTGGCTGGAGTGCTGTGGGATGGGTTGGTTGGAGAGGGAGAGAGAATGAAACGGGGGGATGGGAGAGGTTAGATTTTGGGGGAAAGGAGATGGAAAGAGAGGGTTTAGTTCTGATTGCATGCATCAACGCCCCCATCCATTACACATACCAAGTGAGTAGCAAACACATACATACATACCAAAACGCTGGACACACCTTCGGTAGAATGTAAGCCGTCGGATGGCATCTCGAGCGAGTACAGCCGTTGATCGGCTCCATTGCAGAAGATCAGCAAATCGTTCGGCACACTTCCAGCTTCTGACGTGGCATCTGACGTGGGAGCTGACGTGGCAGGAGGAGGGGATGGGGCGACCAGAAAGGCCCCTCCCCCGTACTCGTGCACGCGGGATCGCACGCTCATGGAGGGAGGTGAGACGTCCAGTGGGGTTGCGCCACGTGTCCCCTCCCTCACCACCACCACCCGACTGCAATGGGGGAGGGAGGGGGAAGGAGGGAGGGGGGTTGGAGCAGCGAGAGTGAGTGTGAGAGTGAGCATCACCATCGGCTTGTGTAAATGCCAAGGTCCCAAGGCAATGTAAGGCAACAGTCTCACGTGGTTCGATTTCAACGCAGTCCCATGCCATACAGTCACATCCAAGTCTGCACTGCAGTCAGCCCAACATTCCTTTCAATCACATCTACTGGTGAATTGCTCACCCCTTCTCTGTGGGTCTGCCTTCCGCCCACACCAGGCGCCCCGCGCTATCCACCGCCGCCCCCCCGAAGCGCAGGCTCGCGCCGCTCGCCATATCCGCGCCGATGGGGGACTCCCACGCCCCGAACGGCGCAACTTTCCGCTCCGCCCGCTCCCCCGAAGCTCCCCTTTCCTCGCCAGTCCCCGCGTGCACCATTGCCGGCTTCCGCGAATCAGCAGCTGCGTGGAGGGATACGCGTGGTGAAGCTCCGCTGATCACGCGCGAGCCCCGCGCCGCTGGCGCAAAGCGGGGAGTGAAAGCGCTTGTCCGAGAAAGTACGCGATCGAGTTTAACGCCGATACGAGATTGAATCTTCGAAGGCGGAGTTTCCGCAGCGTGAAAGCGCGCGCGGAAGGTTGAACCAGACGGGGGAGGCAGACGCGAGCGCAAAGGCGAGGCGGGGGAGAAAGCGACGGTAACGGATAGCGGAAGGGCGGGGAGCGCGCGGGAGCGGAGAAGCGGAAGACAAGCGAGTGATGCGGCCCGCGTTGATGCGGACATGGCTTGGCGACACTGGCAAGTCGTATAACTCGCGCTTCAATGATTTTCTGAAGAGTTTGCACCGTGAATTCGCTCCAAAGATGCATTCTCCACCTCGTGTGTGTGTCTATGGCGTATTCGCGAAGAAGAGGAATGTGTCGCGACCTTCTGTAACCACATTTCGTTCTATCGTGATCGAGAGAGTCGCTGACGAAATTGACAAACTGGTTACAGCCGAATCATCAGTGGCCCTTCCAAAACTCCGAGCGTTACAACATTGAACAAAAACATATGCATTTTTCGTCCAGCAATTCACATAACGCATCGTTTTATGCTGCGAACACGACACGAGCCATTTCGCACATGCCCCATCCGTATGTTTCGCACGAGCCAGAAGATAATGTCTCAACGGTCGAGCACTCACACTCGAAACCTCCTTTGGTTCGCCTCCGCGCGCCAAGCCTGAACAGCAGTCACGTGGCCTTACTAGCCACGTGTCGCCATGTGGCGCCTCGCGAGAGGTCGTCGCAAGTACCGCTCAATCCTCCCGTCGGCATCATCGTGTTCGTCCGTCTTATTTCCATCTGCCACCCACTCGCCTTCGCGCGCCGCGGTCGCACCCCTCTCCAGTGCAGATTACAGCCTAAAGCCCAACCAGGGAAGTTGCGTTAGCTCTCACAGAATACAGAGCGTGAATCAGATCTCCAATCATCAAATCTTCCCATATCGAATCTCTGGTGCGTCATCGCTCGCTAGTGCCGCGGATCTGCGTGTTACCAGCTGGAAGCACAGTTGCATCCGAGGTCTACAGGTGGCAGCAGGTGATTGGCGGGATGGCGGCAGCGTGGAGGTGGGACAGCCGACGCACGAAAGCCACCCGGAGGTGAGAGAGAAAGAGACGGAGAGGGGTAAGGGGGGCGGTAAGAGAGGGGAGATGGGAGGGGGTAGTTGGCGGAACGGGAGGGGGAGGGGGGAGGAATTACGGGGGAAGAGGTGGGGAAGTGGGAGCGGAGTGGGCATTCAATGCACGAGAGCCACTCTTAGGTGAGAGAGGAGGAAGAGGGGAGTCGGGGAAGGGGGAGGAGGGGAATTCGCGGAGGAGGGGGGAGAGAAAACAGCGGAGGAGAAGGGTGGAAGTTGAGGGAAAGGGGGCCTGGAGGGTGGGGGGGGTGGGGGAAGAGAGGGAGAGAATGGGGGAACTTGGAGAGGAGTGGACAGCCAATCAAAGGTGAGGAAAGAGGAGGAAGAAGGGGGAGAGCAGGGAGAGGGGGAGAGGGGAGTGTGAAACAAAGGTTGAACATCACGGAAAAAGGATTTGGGGTTTCGGGGTGGGGGGTTGAGGCGAAGAGAAGAGATGTGGGAACCAGGAAGGGTCTGTTTGTGAGGCGCCTCGACTGGGGATGGAGTTGGGTGGGGGAGTGTGTGTGAGAGTGAGAGGCACATTGTTGGTGAACCAATGTGGAGGAAGGAGCGAGTCTCCGCCACTCCACAGAGGAGTGAGGTGACTAGGGCGTGGAATGGGGGGATGAGCGAGGGAGAATGAAGGCATCGATTGGCTGCAGCATTCTTTGGAAGATGTTGAAAAGCACGCTGCAGCCACCTTCCGGAGAATTCTCAAAAACACGTTGTTGTTGAATTTTCCTTGCTCTTCCCTCCTTCCTTCCCCTTCCCTCGCCCTCCCTCTCATCCCCTCTCCTTTTCATTCTCCGCTTCTCCCCTTCTCCCTTTCTATCCCTCCTCTCTCACTCCTTCCTCCCACAGCTGATCGGCCCCAATGACATTCTGCCAGGTGTCACCGCGTCAGAGTTCGCCGCCCGGCGCAGGGCAGTCATGTCCTGCCTGCCACGTGGCAGCGTGCTAGTGGTGGGCGCGGCTCCAGTGCGGTACATGGCCGGCATAGTGCCGTTCCCCTACCGCCCGGACTCGGATTTGATCTACCTCACGGGTTGCTGCCACCCGGGTGTTGTCGCTGTGATAGAAAGCGATGGGGGGAGTGGGAGTGGTGCTTCTAATGGGGGGACTCGGGGAGTGAGTGGGGGTTTAGCGGATGGAGGAGGGGGAGGCGGGACGGGGGGGAAGGAGGATGGAGGAGGCGGAGGGGGAGGGGATGTGCAGTTCACGTTGTTCTTGCCGCGGCAACGAGCTGATGTGCGTCGTTGGGTGGGCGTTATATGTGATAGCAATGTCAAGGCATGGCAGAATAAACTCTAGCATGGTGTGGTGTGGAAGCGGCATGGCATAGTGACATGGCATGGCATGCGTTCTTGCGTGTCGTTCTCTTCTCTCTCCCATCATGCTCGTGTTCTCTCCCTCTCAGCCTTGCAAACATTTCGCCCTTCTCCTCTCCCCACAACCCAACCTTCTCTTTCATCCACTCAATCACATTCAAAACCCACCTCAAGTCGCCCAACTTCCCCCTCCTCGATCTCAAACCAATCTCACTCAGATGGTGGTGAGGGATGGCAAGCAGGGCACTTAAAGCCCATCAACTGAAGCCCCTCTGCACCCTGTTCCCCCCACTCTATCTCCCGCAGATGGTGGTGTGGGACGGCAGGGCGTTGGATCCACCAGCTGCCACGGCCTTTTTCAAACCAGACAGAGCCATGTTCGTGGATTCGCTTCATGAGGTACCTTCATGAACCCTGTTGTTCCAACTTGCAAGGCACTCATGCCCATTGTGCAAGTGCAATGAACCCGATTGTGCAGTGTAGCAATCTTCTGTCCTCCAACGTTATATGGAATGGAAACTGTCGTGTCATTCCGTATTCCTTTTGTTCGGTTCTTCTCCTTTCCACCATTTTCCTTCACTCACCCTTTCCTTTCCCCCACCACATTCCCCACCCCTCCATGTCTCACACACTCTCAGTACCTGCTCCAGGCCCAACACCTGTCCCCGCTTCACCCCTCTCTTCCCCCACCCCTCCATGTCTCACACACTCTCAGTACCTGCTCCAGGCCCAACAACGCATCTCAGCACACCGACTCTCCTCTTCCTCCTCCCTCCCCTCCTCTTTCTCTTCCGATCGCTCTCCTCCCCCTCGCTTCTACTGTGACCATCGGGCCAATCGCGATCTGATTGCTACAGTACCGGTTCTCGCCGCTGAGCTGGCGACCGGGCGGCTGCTGTCGTCCCGTAGCGCCTTGGACGAGCAGCGGTGGATCAAATCCGAGGCGGAACAGAGGCTCATGCGACGGGCGGCTGAGATCACAGCAGAGGTAATGGATGGACGGCCTGGATCGCATGGCTGGTTGCAAGCTCCTGGGATGCAGTGAGATAGTGCAATCCAGGTTGGCTATTCAATAGATATCGTACCATTCGTATTATATCATTACTATTGCACTTTTGAGGCTCCTCATAGATAGTACAGGAGCGAAAGGAATGGGGGTTATGTTCTGCTCTTCTGTTGCTGACCTGGATTCTGCTGCTTATGAGGCACCTCACCTCAGGATTCTCTCTTCTTTGTTTCTTCTTCCGTGTTTGTGTCGCATGCATGCATGAGCTGCCTGTAGGCCTTCCTGGCAGCTATGAGGCAGTCAGCAACCTCGGCAGCAGCAGCAGCAGGAAGAGGAGGAGCAGCAACAGGAGAGTGTGTTATTGAGGCGCCTCACCTCAAGCGACCCTTACTCAAAGAGCATTTTTCCGTCTTGTCTGCATGCATGACTGCCTGCAGGCCTTCCTGGCTGCTATGAGGCAGTCAGCAGCCGTGGCAGCGGCAGGAAGAGGGGGAGCAGGAGGAAGAGGAGGAGGAGGGTCTGCTTCTGCTGCGACCTATAAAGAGGGACACATAAGGGGGTCGTTGCCACACGAGGGGCACATAAGGGGGTCGTTGCCACACGAGGGGCACATAAGGGGGTCGTTGCCACACGAGGGGCACATCTCTGCTCTGATCGAGTTTGAGTGCAAGCGACGGGGAGCACAGCGATTCGCGTGAGTGGTGATTCGATTCGAGACTGTCTCGGCACTTGGTTGGTGGGGGTACTGATGGGATCTCTCTTGAGAAGTCTCAAACGTGATTTTAAAATGGGGTACTGACGGGTGTGCTTGTAGAAGAGGGATGGGCAGCGGAGGGGACACAGAATGTTAATTAGTATATATGTATATTTGCATGTACGTATATATTTGTATGTATATGTATATACATATGTGCGGATAGATGCATTGCCCTCTTTATGGAACCTCAAGCAGTGCACGCTTTGTTCCCACTATGCCTCCCTTGCCGCTTCTGCCACTGCTGCTGCCTCTGCCTCTTTCTCTTCGCTTTTCTCTTTCTCCCTCCCCCAAGTGCACTCTCCTCCAATCCCTTCCTCACTCCCTCACTCCCCCCCCCGCGCACCTCTATCACTATTTCCACTTTCCCTTTTAATTCAATTGTGTGGCCTCCCTCTATTTCTGCCCCACATCCATCGCTCTCCCCGTCAGCTAACCCCCAGTGGTGGCAGGCGGCAGCAGCGGCTGCATCGTTCACTACTTCCGGCACCGTTTTCCCCACCACCACTATCTTTCTGTTTCCCTCCCTTCGCCCACCACTCACCACCAGCTACCCTCCAGTGGTGGCAGGCGGCAGCAGCGGCTGCATTGTTCACTACCTTCGCAACGACAAGCCAGTGAGTTGTTGGCATTCAGTAGGATGTTGAGGTAGTTTCGAGAGCTCGCACTTTAAAAGCTCTGAAACTTTTAGAGCGCCACGGCCTTAGACGATTCTCAGGTACCCTTTTGAAAACTCACAGCCAGTTGGCCGTGCATGAGCCAAGCCATTGGCTATCAGTTGCTCACACACGCACGCACGCACCCACACACACACACACACACACACACACACACACGCACACACACACACACACACACACACACACGCACACACACACACACACACACACACACAGGTGCAACCAGGGGAGGCGCTACTGGTGGATGCGGGCTGTGAGTACTTCGGCTATGCATCCGACATCACGCATGTGTGGCCGCCCTTCGGCTGGTTCTCCTCTGCAGTCTAAACGCCCACTCTCTCGCCACTCCTCCTTTCCCCCTCCTTACAGGTGCACCCAGGGGAGGCACTAATGGTGGATGCGACTTGTGCTATTTTTCAGCCCAGAAGTCCAAACGCACACTCCCTCTACTCCCCCCTCCCCACAGGTGCAACCAGGGGAGGCGCTACTGGTGGATGCGGGCTGTGAGTACTTCGGCTATGCATCCGACATCACTCGCGTGTGGCCGCCCTTCGGCTGGTTCTCCTCCTCGACAGTCCCAACACCCACTCCCTCTACTCTCCTCCCTTCCCCCACACAGGTGCAACCAGGGGAGGCGCTACTGGTGGATGCAGGGTGTGAGTACTTCGGCTATGCATCCGACATCACTCGCGTGTGGCCGCCCTCCGGGAAATTCTCCGCTGCCCAGGCACGTGAATCGGCGCAGCAATAGGTTGGTGCTTGCGAGTGCAATTCCTCTGGCATTGCGGGAAACTTTCCCTTGTCCTGGCAGTGGCGCAGCAGTAGGATGCAAAAGCCAACGAGCATTGGTCTGGTCACTTATCATATGCTCTGGGTTGTGGGTGCCATGCTGCCTTCAGGAGGTTCTCTCATTTTCAAACACCAAGTAACAGAGAGTCGTCCGTTCCTTGTGCTGACGTGGCAGAGAGGCCTCCATTCCTTGTGTTGACTTGACGTGGCAAAGATCCCTCCTTCCTTGTGCTGACGTGGCAGAGAGCCCTCCCTCCCTTGTGCTGACGTGGCAGAGAGCAGTGTACGAGGCAGTACGGGAGGCGATGGTGGAGTGCATTGCCATGTGCCGGCCGGGCGCCACCCTGAGGGACATGCACCAGCACTCGGTGGGTGGGGCATGTTGAGGGGCATGGTGGGATTGCGCAGTCACGTATTGCCGATGGTGGAGTGCATCGCCATGTGCCGGCCGGGGGCCACTCTGAGGGACATTCATCAGCACTCGGTGGGTGGGCATGGTGAGGGGCATGCAGCAATACTGGGTGGTGGCTTGGTTGGCGTTGAGTACCGTGTGGGTGGGGATGGCACAGGCACACTCTTGGCGATGAAGGAATGCATTGCCATGTGCCGGGTGCCACTCTGAGAGATATCCACCAGCACTCGGTGGGTGGGGTGGGGCATGGCATTGTGTGGATGGGACATGGTAAGGGGCATGGTATGGGGCATGTAGGAGCACACACTGCATTCGTTCTGAGTGAGTGATGTGGTGGCTCTCCTTTCCAACCCTGATACCACCAGGTCCCAACCAACCCCCTTTCCCCCCCGGTCCACAACCGCCCCTGCCACCACCAGGTCATATCCCTCTCCTCGGCCCTGGTGCAGCTGGGAGTGTGCCAGGGCTCGGCACAGCAGGTGGCAAGAGGAGCCTTTCGACAGTTCTACCCGACCTCTGTTGGTGAGGCTTCTTGGTTGGCGCTTTTCCTCTATTCAACAACCTTTGACTTTTGTCATTTCTGACAGGAGTCATGAATGCCATGAATTTTCATGTGTGGTGCCATGGCGTGGCAGGGCACTGGCTAGGGCTGGACACACACGACTGTGCATCCGTCTCCTCCTTTCAGCCCCTCAAACCTGGTGTGGTGAGCCTGCCTCCTTCCCTCTTTGCCAGTATCAATGTAGAGGGTTCGGGTTTAGGGTTGCATGCATGGATGGCGGTAGCAAGACTATTGGGAGCATGGCAGGGCACAGGCTAGGGCTGGCTGGACACACACGACTGTGCATCGGTCAATGTCCATGGTCAACATTTGTCTTACTTTGAGTCGACTAAAAAACTGACTGCGCATCGGTCGATGCCCACGGTCAACATCTGTCTTACCCTCATTCTCCTGCTTCGCAATCCATGCTCCCCCAATCCCCAGGTGCTGACAATTGAGCCGGGTCTCTATCTCCCGGACATTGACCAAGTGCCAAAGCAGTGAGACGCCCATCCTTCCCATCCCATCCCATACTCATACTCACATGCTGGCCATGCGTCACACCACTGTGACTCCAAACCAAACAAACCCTTGCTTCTATGCATATGCTGTAATCAGAGGCATGGTCTGACATAAATGCCACCCCCTCCTCTGCCCTCATTCTCCACACCCCTGCCCCTAACCTCTCCCTGGCTGGTCGTATGGATGGCAAATGACATGTGCAACCCCACATTCGCAACTCAGTCTCCCTTCACTCCCCCTTCTCCCTTGACATGCGGGCAATCAAAATCGACACAAAGGCCATCTGCTACTCAATCTCCCAATCGTACCCGCCCTCTCCCCTGTCCCTCCGCCTTCTTCACACCTCCAGGCTGTGCGGCATAGGCGTGCGGATAAAGGATGACATGTTTAAACCCTAACCTTCAAACCGAAATCCCTTTGCACCCATCCCGTCCTGTGTGTGTCTCTCCTCCTCTCTTATCTCCCCCAGCCTGCGCGGCATAGGAGTGCGAATAGAGGATGACATTCTGATCACAGCTGATGGATACGAGGTAATTTTTGTCGTTATGTGTCTATTCATAAACAATGTATCATATATTACCTTATTGTATGTATGTTTCTGCTGCGCACGGAAAGAAGGTAACAGTTGTACTTGCTCTGAAGAATGGAAGGCACTTTTTTAGAAATTGAATTTCGTATCACAACCGCAGGGACTGGAAGACAGTAGCGCGTATTTTCAATCTTTCCACACAGTGCACGCTCTTCGTTCCTGTCCAGTTTTTTTATCCCATTGTCCCACCGTGCCACTCCCTCCTATGGTGCCGCGCCATGATACCATTTTCTCCATATTTTCAGAATCTGACAGCAGCAGTTCCGGCCGATGTGGATGCTTTAGAAGTGTTGATAGTGTTGGCATTGACTGTGTGTGACATCAACAGTGCTATACCTACCTCATTTCATTCCCTCCTAATGTCCGCCACGCCATTCCATTCCCTCCGTATCTTGCAGCATCTGACAGCAGCAGTTTCAGCGAATGTGGATGCGCTAGAGGATGGTAGTGGGTGGCATGGATGGTGTGTAGAATCACCGGCACTATAACACAAGTCTTTCATGCCCTTCTGATGCCTGTCATTCCATCCCCCCTGTACCTTGCAGAATCTGACAGCAGCAGTTCCAGCCGATGTGGATGCTCTAGAGGCGTTGATGGCTGAAGCTAAGGAGGAGAGGCTCGGAGCATGATGAAAGAGGGCGAATCAACAGCATGACACCAAGGCTATGTGTAAATGACCAGACAAAGAAAAACTTCAGGTCTGGTTTTCAGGCGGCGGTGTCCACAACTAAGAAGGGCAGGTATAAACGCGGGGGATGTGCCCTTTTCACGATCAAATGCTGTGATTCAAGATGAGCATACCATGAAATCAGGGTGGGTTTGCAACAGGGAGAAGTATCAGGCAGATTGTATGGAGTTTGCTGTTCTGTTGACCATTACTTGGTGTATCTGATAGGATAGCCTCCTTAGGAACCATTGTACATTTCACCTGCTAATAGTGAGCGCTCATATTTTTTCTCTCGCTGTACATTCAACGAGTCTGCTGTTACTGAGAATTAGATAATTCTCTCGTTCAAAGGTCGTCGCGAAGCACACGGTTACCAGCCAATATGCTCCGTTCGCTCCACACTTCGTTGATTGCCTTCTGTTGCCTCGAGGTTTGACAGGCAAAATCTGTGTGAAGCGTGGGAAGACCAAGGTTTGCTGCTTCTTCATCGGACCTGGTGGAAGGTCGAGCTTTTATTTCTATCGCGACCACTGCCGCGGCACGTGCTTGACCCTCCTGCGCTGGCCTGGCATATTCCTTGTCGTGCGTTTCGTCCATCCCTCCGTCTCATCTCTCTCACCGCTCACCACTGTCATTCTTTCCCTGGTCCGTCGAGGAGCGCAGCGGAAATCAGCAGGGGTTCTGTGAATCTCGATTGTAGTAGCAGCGTGATTGCGTCCGTCGGGCCAGAGTCGATTGGAAGCTTATCCACCAATCGCGATCCGTCGTAATCTTCTTAAAGCACGGGCGTCGTCACTCGTTTGTCTCAAAACACGGCTATCAGTAGTTACCGTTAACGTTGGTTCTTGTGCCGCCAGACTGCGACCAGCTTGACTGCCACGAGACGGCGACGTCCAACCTGACGGCCACCAGACGGCGACGACCATCCTGACCCCGCGATGTCGTTCAACAACGTCATCGGCGGTAAACTGAAACTGAAAGGCGGCGACCGCGCGCTGCCGTCCATAGGCGGCATCAAGAAGAAGAAAAAAAAGGCCGGGAAAGCCGTTAATCTCGACTCGCTGCAGCTGCAAGCGCTTCGAGACGCCGAAGCGGCGCTTAAGGAGGAAGAGGCGCGCGGCGGCGCGGCGGGATTGCACGAGTCAGGCGCAGTTGTCGTAGGGGGGGCGGGGGGGGAGGAAGAGGGGGAGCAGCAGGCGCAGGAGGAGGCGGAGGATCTCCGCACGCCCGCGGAGCGGCGGTATCACGAGCAGCTGGAGAAGCTAGAGGCGGAGCGGGCTGCTAGGGGCGCGAGTAAGTCGCACAGGCAACGCGTGGAGGACTTTAACAAATACCTGGCGAATCTTAGCGAGCACCACGACATTCCCAAGGTCGGCCCGGGCTAAGGGGGCTGTGTTGAGGCTGCTGGTTCGGAGTTGAGAGTACAAAAGTAAGCTGCACAGGCAGCGCATCGCGTTGATGACTTCTGCATGTACCTGGAGATTTTGTTGAGTGAGCTCTATTGCATTCATAGGGCTGGCCTGGGCTAACGGGGTTGGCTCAAGGAGGCTGGTGCAAGGGGACTGGTGTAAGGAGGCTGGCATAAAGAAAGTGATTGCAGAGGGGGTCTGTTTGTCATGCATGGTCATTGAGACGTTTGAAAGGCAGGCTTATTACCATCAACAGACGGCATTCCCAAGACGGAGCGGCAGGTGTTGTGGGGGTTTCATCTTGTCACTTCAAGATGGGCTGGAGTTGTCCTGAGAGGGGCATTAACTTGGTCTATTGATGTGAGGGCTGGGTTGTATGTACTCACATGTTGCTGAGCGGGCATTTGCCGGGCTGGGCATTTCGTCTGCCATACTCTCCAAATGTGCAAACAATCCTGGTGCCTAGTTTCAAATGATGTCATCTGATTTGTCAACTCTAAAACCACTAATACCGGTACAATCAAGTAATGATGCTGGAGTGGGGATGGGGGGTGCCTTGGAGGTAGGCTTGTTATATTATCAATATTTTGCCTCACATATGCAGTGTACATGTATTCGTTAGTGGGTGTGCGACGCCAATCACCTCACCATCGCCCAACCAAATCAGCTGCGCCTGCAATCAGCCGCAACAAGCATTCCCGCTCTTCTCCCCCCGATTTCCACAGTTGCTGCGCAAAGTCTTCCCTGGTATCCGCGCACACCTCCGCTTCACTCTCCGCACGCCCACCCGATTGCGGAACCCACCCCAACATCAACCTCTTCCGAGCCCCGCTCCAGCACCACAATTTTCCCCCGCGTAACTTTATAAGCACATCGCCCCTATTCCCCTCATACCATTCGTTTGCGTCACACCATCCCTCGCCTGCCATCTCGACGCGTTTCCCCATCTACTTTATCCTTTCAACCCTGGGAGCTCACCTGTCATAATCCATGGCGGCTCAATCCAGGATTCTACGAGCCTGATTCGCAACTCGTTAATCGTCGTAACCGAGCCGCTGGATGTCATCTCTGGTTCGCCGTATGTTCGTTTTTTGTTTTGCGAAGTAGGCCGTTTTGGACTCGACGCCTGGCGAGTTTCGGTGTAGACCTAATTTCGCGTTCTGGTTTCGGCCATGACCAGAAAGTTCTTATTGCCTAGGGATTGCTATTCCTGCTTGACTGAAGCCGAACAGCGTTAGCAATTTCGTGTCGATAGTAGATAGCGGCTAGGGTTTCGAGTGCAGAAAACGACTTAGCATGCTTCAGTCAGTTAAGAAGACGTTTGCAGGGGGTCGGAAAAAGCAGGGTAAGTCAGACGCAGCGTCGCACGATGCAGGAAATGCAGCAGCGGCGCCAGCAGCGGCGGGTGGCATTGCTCGGTCGGGCTCGGGGAAGCTTGCATCAGGGGGAGCGAACGCCGGAAAGGCGGGAGGCCCGCATCCGCCTCCAGGCGTCGCGAATCCAACGGCTCCCGTTCGTCGCGACCCTAACGAAGTGATCGCGCAGGCGAACGCGTCGCCTTTCGCGGAGCCGCTGCCGCTGTTTAGAGACGTGGGTCCGCAGGAAAAGCAGGCTTTATTCATCCGGAAGCTGCATCTCTGTACTTACCTCTTCGACTTTAACGACCCCATGAAAAACGTGAAGGAGAAGGAGATTAAGCGGCAAACACTCCTTGAGCTAGTCGACTACGTTAATTCCGGAACCGGGAAATTTAACGAGGCGGTATTCGAAGACATCACGCGCATGCTGGAGATTAATCTCTTCCGGCCGTTACCGCCGTCCGCGCACGAGATGTCCGGGTCGGAATCGTTCGACCCGGAGGAGGAGGAGCCTACTATGGAAGCCGCGTGGCCTCACCTGCAAATAGTCTACGAGTTCCTGCTTAGGTATGTCGTCTCTAACGAGACCGACGCGAAGGTCGCGAAGCGCTACGTTGACCAGAAGTTCATCTTAAAGCTGCTGAACCTGTTCGACTCGGAGGACCCTCGCGAGCGGGACTATTTGAAGACTATTCTGCACCGGATTTACGGGAAATTCATGGTGCATCGGCCGTTCATTCGCAAGGCGATTAACAACATCTTCTACCGGTTTATCTACGAGTCGGAGCGGCATAACGGCATCGCAGAGCTGCTGGAGATTCTAGGGAGCATTATTAACGGGTTCGCGCTGCCGCTTAAGGAGGAGCATAAGTTGTTCCTGGTCCGCGCGCTGGTTCCGCTGCACAAGCCTAAGTGCGTGTCGATGTATCACCAGCAGCTGTCGTACTGCATCACCCAGTTTGTGGAAAAAGACCCGAAGCTCGCGGATTTGGTGCTGCGCGGGTTGCTTAAGTTCTGGCCCTTAACTAACAGCCAGAAGGAGGTGCTGTTCCTGGGGGAGTTGGAGGAGATTCTGGAGCTGACTCAGGCGCCGGAGTTTCAGATGGTAATGACGCCGCTGTTCCAGCAGATCGCGCGCTGCCTCAGCTCCTCGCACTTCCAGGTACGGTGGGACGGGGCGTGGCGGGGTGTGATGCGGTGCGCGGGGATGTGATACGGTGCTGGGGTGTGAAGGGGTGTGAGGGGGTGTGAGGAGGTGTGAGGGGGTGTCATTCATTCTCACGCAGGCGCCCGAGCCACAGATGGTCATGACGCCAATGTTCCAGCCGATCGCGCGCTGCCTCTGCTCCTCGCACCCGCACGTACCACTCTTCGCCACTTTCAGGTGTGCTTCCTCATGCCCCTCCGGTCCTGAAATCTCGTTATTCCAGTTTCCCGAAATGATTCAGCTTCATGATATCTCAAGAGGCGACTTCTGAGTCGACTCAGAATTCACCATGTTTCAGCAGCATCGTGTGGCGTGCGTCTCAAGTAGGTGCGAGTCGTCGCTTATCCTGGTGTTTTGGCGTTATTTAGGGTTTCGTTGATATTGTGGGGTCTTGCTGACGTGTCATTCAGGCACGCTGCGTGTTACCACATGAGGGCGCGTTCCCCCAGGTCTCCCTTCTGCCTGGGGCCCGTCCCCCCATCTCTACATTGTTTCTGCATATCCCCCTACCTTCTCCCCCCCACCGGTGTCCGTACGCCATGGCCCATACTTCCATACATACATCGTGCCAACGTATTATTATGCCACTTACTGTCCCGTACATACATCATGTCCATGTATATTAATACCATTCATTGCCCCGTTGTGGTCATATACATACCTTATATTGTTGCGTACATACCCTGTGACCATGTATGTATATGCAGCCTACCTACCGTCCCATACATACGCCATCGCCCATGCATACCTCGCCGACAAAAATCGTCTTTTGAGGCGCCTTACATTGGGGCGCCTCTGAAGTCAGGTTGGGCAGCGCACGCTCTATTCCTGCAAAACGACGAAAACTCACTCTGGTGGCTGATGAATGATACATATGGCTGGCTGTGCCCCCTTTTAGCTGTACCCGATATAGCATGGTCCGTGCTATATCTCTGTAAAGTGGAGCTACAACTAGTCTGTGACACTTGTCGCTCAGGACCAACACATTTGTGGCCCATACGGCATGTCACACGTATCATGCACCATATATATGCACACACAAGCCCCCCTCACAACCCCCTGACACCCCCCTCCCCTCAGGTGGCGGACCACACGCTGTTCCTGTGGAACAACGACTACATTGTCACGCTGGTGGCTCAGAAATGCTACATTGAGCTTATGCCATTGCCATGCCCCCTTTCTCGTGCCTTGTACGTCATGCGTGGCCCATACCTCATGTGCTCCTCTCACAGGTGTTCTTGTGGAACAACGACTACTTGGTGACGCTCGCTCGTGGCACAGAACCGATACCCCTGTGGCCCATATACCCTCCTTCCCCACCACCCGACCCCCCTCCCCCCTCTCCCCCCTCCCCCATCCCCCCACCCCGTCAGGTGGCGGAGCGCACACTGTTCTTGTGGAACAACGATTACATTGTCACTCTCGTGGCTCAGAACCAATACGCCTGTGGCCCATTTACCCTCCTCCCCCACCACCCGACGCCCCCTCCCCCCTCCCCCCCCTCTTCCCCCTCCCCGTCAGGTGGCCGAGAGGACGCTGTTCCTGTGGAACAACGACTACATCGTCACTCTCGTGGCTCAGAACCGCACCACCATCCTGCCGCTCATCTTCGCTGCTCTCGAGCGCAACGCCAGAAGCCACTGGAACCAGGTACAATGGCACGTGCGGGTACGTGGCAGGCTGTGGCTGTAGCACGGACTGCTTATGACTGTAGCTCGGTCTGAAGCCACTGGAACCAGGTATGGTGCGCGCACAGGTGCCTTGCCTCTCTCGCTGGTGGCTCAGAACCGCACCACCATCCTGCCCCTCATCTTCGCTGCCCTCGAGCGCAACGCGAGAAGCCACTGGAACCAGGTACGGTGGCACCAGCAGGTGTGTGGTAGGATGTGGCTGTAGCACGGCTGAAGCTGCTAGAACCAGGTAGGGTGGCACGTGCAGGTACGTGACAGGCTGTGGCTGTAGCACGAACTGAAGCCACTGGAACCAGGTACCGTGCGCGCAGAGGTGCTTTGCCTCTGACGCTCGTGGCTCAGAACCGCACCACCATCCTGCCGCTCATCTTTGCCGCACTCGAGCGCAATGCCAGAAGCCTCTGGAACCAGGTAGGGCGGCATGTGCACACACATGGCATGGCATGCCCGTATAGCACGGACTATAGCCTCTGGATCCAGGCAGAGCAGCATGGCTTGCCCATATAGCCCGCACTATAGCCTCTGGAATCAGGTATGGCGGAAGGTGCACTGCATACACATGCCTCTGCGGGCAGAGGTGCCTTGCCTCTGACCTGAGATGGCCGATGGTGCAAATGCAATGGCATAAGCCATGGGAAGCAGGTATGGTGTTATCCAGCCTGAACCGGCTTGCTTCTTATCTGAGGCGACCGATAGTGCAAGTAAATCGAGGCACAGTGGTTTCTGCAGCTGCAGGAACAGGACAGGCCATGGCTGTAGCACAGACTGCTCTCTCAGTCTGCCCCCTCAGTCTGCCCCCTCAGTCTGCCCCCTCTCCACTCTGCTATCCTCCAGTGCGTGCTGTGAATAGATGTTTTAAAGATGGACCGGGCTCCCTATGATAATCCCTGGAGGCACTTTTCTCCCTGGCCAACACATGCTGTGCTCCTCTCTGTCTCTCTCCCTCTTCTCTCCCTCCTCCGCCTCACTGCTCTTCTTCCTCTCATTTTTTTCCCTCCTTTTCCCCCTCCTCTCGCCTTCTCCCTGCTCTCCCTCCTCTCTTTCCCCCTCCATCCACCCCCACAACTCTCCCCCCTCCCCTACGTCCCGTCCTTTACCCAGGCTGTGAACGGGCCGGCCATTAACGGCGCGTGATGTTTCTCGAGACGGATCAGGGCCTGCTTATGCGTACTTTGCTGCTCCTCTCCTTCCCATTCCCCTCCCTCCCCCATCTCCCCAGGCGGTGAACGGGCTGACCATCAACGTGCGCAAGATATTTCTTGAGATGGACCAGGCCTTGCCCAATTCATCCTGTGCTGTTCCTCTCCCTCCTCTCCCCCTCTGCTCTCCATCTCCCCTCCATTCCTCTCCCTCCCTCCTCCCCACCAGGCGGTGAACGGGCTGACCATCAACGTGCGCAAGATGTTTCTGGAGATGGACCAGCCGCTGTACGACGAGTGCCAGCGCCAGTTCCTGGAAGAGGAGGGCCGCGCTGCTGACGTGGAGGAGCTACGCGCCGCCACGTGGCAGCGCCTGGAGGAAGCAGCGGTGACGGGCGGGGTAGGGGGAGGCGGGTTCGGCGGCGGGTTGCAAGCGGGCATGGATGTGGATAGCAGAGAAGGCCGGTCGCAAGATTATGAAAACAATTTAGGATGACATGACTTGAGTCACTTGACAGGGTGTAGACTGTAGAAACTGTAGATTCGCTACTCCTTGTGGCTCATCATCATTTCCTTCATCGCTTGTGAAATTTTACCAGATCTTGCAGTTGTTGTGAAATGCCTTACCGTAAGCTGATTGACTGCCCGTCGCTTGTTTGGTTCGTTGGAAAACTCGATGAACGAATCACTTGTACCGACCGACCGGTACCGTAATTGCAGCGTTGATTCTGCTGACTAAGTACTAGTGCATGCGTGCATATTGAACTACAGTACCATTGTTACATTACCGGAAGGATAGCATCTCACTATACGGTAGGTCAAACACTACCACTACCAAGAAGGAATACCTATGGCAACGTCCATTTGCAACGTCCATTTGAAACCATGTGCAGTGCATGACCTTACCTTGCCACATTCGCTGCAGGTTCCTCAGCTTCACACCGACATGCAGAGCACATAAAAGGGGGAATTCAGGATTCCTGCTACACTGCTCATTCAATTGCGTTTATCTTTCACTAAGTGGTACCGTATTCAGGCCCATGAATGATTCACTCTATCTGTTTCCTCTTCCTCATACGCAACGCAAGGTGTCCATGTATTTTCTTGCAGGCACTCATGTGTGCGTAGCCACAAATGTGACTGAATGGCTCTCGCCGTTGCCAGACGCTGCCTAGCCTTACCTGCGAGCAACTGAACGCACTACCGTAACTCGGCAGCTGCTGAAAACTTACTCATCAACTGCACAAAAATGTGACTCAACATTTGCACACAAACTCAGTCAATATTGCAACACTCGAACTTTAAAGCCCGTAGGCAAAATAGTGACCCCCCCCTTCTAGTTGGGTCCACTAGAAATAACGTGACACACTTTGTATTTTGGAGGGTTGAAGTGTTGAGTTTTTACATTTTTTTTTAGCCCACTCGGATAATGAACGACTCTATTCAGTTTGTTCAGGTCGCAAGCATATGCCAATGTGTCGCAAGGTGGCGACGTGCAATTTCCATTCAGCAAGTGCAATTCTCATTGAGTAGCAAGCGCAATTCACACGGAACAACTTCCATGGAAAAAAACAGCACAGAATTACATACCGAGGGAAGAAAAACAGAGTTCAATACCACGAGGGCGACGGGACTAGAGGGTAAACGAGGGGGACGGTGTGAAGGGGGGAACATGAGGGCGACGGGACGCGAGTGTGAACATGGGGAGGGCGACGGGATGGGAGGTGAGAGAGGAGAGGAGACGGGAGGGTTGATTCAAGGCAGGCGCCAGGCCGACGGGAAGGGACGGGAGGGGACAGGAGGGACACGACGGGACGTGACGTGATTTTCAGGAATATTGGTCAATTTGCAACTCAATTCCATCCTCGCACCACCGTGTGTGCAGTGGAGAGGCGAACTCGAAGGCGACGGGATGGGCGAAACAGCGGGTGATGGGAGGTGAGAGACGAAGGGAGACGACGGGAGAGGAGGGGAGAGAGCGAGGGCGACGGGAATGTAAGGGAGATGGCGACGGCGAGGGAACGTGAGAATGGAGAGGCCAGCGGGATGGGAGGGGAAGTCGCGAGAGACGTGACGGGTGACGGAACGAGTGATGGGAAAGAGACGTGACGGGCAACGGGACGGGATAGCAAGGATGCGGAAGGCGAGGGGACATAGCGATGCGACGGGCAGCGATGGGAGATAGCGATGTGGTTTAGTGGGAGAGAGGAACGTGCGGGAAATTCAAGGCGAGCGCGATAGCAACGAGGTGAGTAACGGGAAGGGAGAGAGGAGGGGCGATGGGAGGCAGAGGAAGGGCGAGCGCGAGGGCGACGAGTGGGCGACTGTATGGGAGGCACGGTGGGTGACGCCATGGACGGGGAGGAAAGCGAGAGGGGCAGACGATGACGGGGGGATTCACCATTGCGAGAAAGCGAGAGATGGGGAGGGAGAGATAGCGAGGCGACGGGATGGGAAGGGAGAGATAGCAAGGCGACGGGCAGCACGACGCGATACACAAGGCGAAAGGAAGGACGGTGATATAGCGAGGCGACGGGACGGAAGACAGGATCGCGACGCGACGGTCGACGGGACGACGTCGGGACGGACGACAAACACACGATCGGAGCGGGAGGGCGAGCGAGATGCGATGGGAAGGCAGCGAGAGGGCATTCGAAATGGCACATAGTACTACACAACCACGCCACCTTCACTACGCGTCTAAATTGATAGATCAACGGCCTAAGTTAACGGTTCTATGGCTAGACAGGCTACTTATAACTAAGAAGCCATAAAAAAACGATTGTATGAACTAGAGGTACTTCACCCAGTCCCAACTTGAACCTGAAGCTGGGCCCAAAATCGCAAGGACGTGCGTGAACGATCGCAGTGCTAGTGTCGTGCAGCTTCCCATACAGATATGCGACGCTTGACGTGCTGCGTTGCTTTTTTTTGTTTTGGCGGGAACCAATCAGAAGTTTTCGATCAGCAGAAACGCTCACAATGAAACAGTGCAAAATTGTTTCGCTCGACAAGCCCTTTTTCAAGCTGGCCCCGGGTTCACTATTTTGCATTTCGGTTTTAAACATGGGTCGCTTCAGCGCTCGGTCTGTGTCAACTCAATAATACACCACCCACGACGACACATTCCGCATCCCCTTCCCTCCCCTTTCCTCCCCTCCCCTCTCCCCTTCTCTCCCCCCCTCTCCCCCCCCTCTCCCCCCCCCCCCCCCCCTTCCCCTCCCCTCCTTACTCTTCCTTCCTTCCCGCAACTTCGCCACCCCTCATCCAGCTCTCCTCACGAATGCTTTCAAACCTGTCCTTGCATGTCCCTAGGCAACTGACCTCGCCAATCATCTTTCCACCATTCACTCCACTTTCCTTACCACCGCTGTCGCCACTACCCTCACAAACACTCTCCTTGCCGATTTTCTCGCACCCATCTCTGTTCCCATCCTTCCCACGCCTCTTCCCACTGGTCCTGCCGGGGCATGTGAGCTTGTGGGCGGGCCAGTGCGCCTTCTGGCAGTCTCTGCTGCAATACCCCACCTTGCCACACCCACCGCAACTCCTCAGCTTCACACCACCACCAGCCTCCACCCTCCCACACCCCGCAGCACCGCACACACGGCCTTGGACATCTGAAGCAGCACCAGCTGCACCAGCAGCAGTAGCAGCAGCAGCAGCAGCAGCAGCAACACCGATGCTCGATGAAGTGGGGGTGGGAGAGGCAGCAGGACGAGAAGACACCGCAGCAGCAGGATGGGTGGTACCGGTAGGAGCAGCAGAGGAGGCAGGGCGGTAGCAAGGCTCTCCCAGCAGCATCTCTCGCAGACATGCCACCAGGTTGACCCCCCCCGGCCATGCCTTCAGATACGCCGGCTCCTCCCCCTTCTTACACTTCTTCTCACTTCTGCTGCTGCTGCTGAAGTTGCTGCTGCTGCTGCCACCCATCCACTCACAGTTGCTACTGCTGCTGCCACTGCCGTTCTCCCTGGCAGACCCACGCTGTCCTTGCAACCCCTCACAGTACCTCGGGACGATCGCTGCCTCAAGAATCCATGTAATGTCCCACCCCCTTTCCGGCCTCTCTTGCTTCCTGGTTCCTCTGCACTCCTCGCTCTCTCCCTCGCCCCCAACGTTGAATCTCCACGCAGCCATCACCGAGGAATACCACATCACCACCTCCTCCCACACCTCTCCACCGTTCTCCTGACCCTTCTCACAATCCCAGCAGCTTCGCACCTTCAACCTCCCACCTGTCCCCTCCTTCCCTTTTCCACTGCATTCCCGCTCGACCAAATCGTTCTTTATAAGAGGATGAGCGCACCACATAGCCATGTGAATGAGGAAATACAGAGGCACCTGCTCCGCTCGCTCCAGCAGCATACGCACGTTCACAGGCCTGGGCAGGGGTGCAGGGAGGTCCAGACACTCCACCAGCTTGACAAACCCAGGGGAGGACGGCGGGAACGTCGAGAGAACCCGTGAGAAGAGGTGGCTGACAGGGCGGTATGCAAAGTTGGCGATGACAGCAGCAGTGCATGCGAATGCCATGAAGTCAGTGGAGCAGCGGGTGCAGTGGGAGCATGCAGGCGGGTCCATGACGTACCCGGCTAGCCCCACTAGCAAGTCCACATCTGCCTGGCAGCGCACGATAGGAAGCTTCCTTCTGGGGGGCGGTAGTGTGACTCTCTGCTCGTTGTTTGGATGTGCTTTGGCTTTCCCATCGGATCCCTTCCCTGCTCTGCTCGCTTCGGCTTCCACACTGGATCCTGGCCCTGCTGCCTTAGAGCGTTTTCCCCTTGCACTCCTGCTCTTTCCTCCTGCTTCAGATGTGCGCTGAGGAGGAGGTGGGTTACACTTCTCTGCTGCTCCACCGCACTCCTCCACAATCCCAAGCCCAAAACATCGCTCTTTCGGGTTGACAGGAAACTTCACGGCAGCTTCATCGCCCCGAGGCCACTCCTCCCACTCCAAAGGAACGCTGCTTCCCTCCAAAGGCGTGGGAATGGCGCCAAACCTGACCAGCAGGCTTGGAAGGTCCCGAAGTGGGTGGCGCATAACCCGTACCTGGCTCTGAGAGCCGTCATTCGAGCACTGGCTTCTTGAGATGGAATCTGGGCCGTAGATTCGGACCCACTGCAAGATGCAACGGACCCGATAGGTGAAGGCAGCAACCACAAAGCTCGTATTGACAGGCAAAAGTCTTTTGACAGGCAAGAGCCTATCATCTGACACGAGCCCAGCATTTGTAGCAACGGATATAGTGGGCTGAGCTGCTCCTACACCCGCCCCTTCTCCTCCATCCGCCCCCATTTTTTGCTTGAAACGATGCTGCAGAAGCCTCTTCCTGGCTACATGTATAGCTGCCTTCTCTACCTGCACCTTGCCCACAGGGTTCGCATCATGGAAGTACATCTGCGCTTCCTTCCAGTGCTCTGGTTTCAGCAACGCTGCGGTGACAGCGAGGGCGAAGTCAGTCGCACCTACACCACTCACATGCATGCCCTTGGGAGCACTGCTGCTCGTACTGCTGGCACCCGAACCGAACATGTTGCTGCTGCTGTTACTGATGCTACTGCTGCTGCTACTGCTGCTGCTACTGCTGCTGCTGCTACCCTCCTCAATGCAGGTGCTGCACCTGATCTCCCTCCCTTCCCCCCCTCCATGCTCCAAAATCCAAGCCATGCCATCCACATACCTCCTCCATACGAGCCCTTTCGCATTCTCCCTCCACTTCAAGTCTTTCCTTATCCTTCTGCACTTGCTAGCAACCCCTTGGACCTCTCCCTTGCTCTCTCCCTCCTCCCCGTGCCTCTCATCCTCCTTCCCATGTGAAGCATCCAACAATCCCCCCACGGGCCTTCTCTCTCCCCATCTTCCTCCACCAACCACCCGCTCCAGCGCCACATGTCCTCCCGTCTGTTCTGCACTCGCTTCTCCCACACCCTCACATCCCCCCTTCCCCTCTGCATGCGTCTGTTGAGACGTCTCAAAAGCCTTCCCCTCTGTATGATCCTCCTCAGCAGCTCTCTTCCCGTCTCCCCCCCTCCCCTCTCCATGTACTTTCTCCAGCCCGCCTGACAGCACATGCTGCACAAAAAACCCAAACCCTTCCTGCAGGTCAGCACTCTCCTTCACCCCAAGCACCTGCACCAGCATGGACGCAAGGCAGTCATTTTCTGCCTGCCTGCCCGCCCCTAGCTCGGCCAGAATTGCTGGCCAGGCGGCCAAATACGAGTACAAGTGAGCCCTCCATAGTGTCACAATGCGGGAAGATCTCGCTACAAGAACAAGGGAGGTCGCGAAGTTGACAGCACGGCGGTAGGCAGCCCAGCAACTGCTGCAGCGCCAGCAGCAGGACCATGCCGCGGAAGCAGCAGCAGCAGCAGCAGCAGTAGCTGGAGCAGCAGCAGTAGCAGCAGCAGCAGCAGCAGCAGCAGCAGCAGCAGCAGCAGCAGCAGCAGCAGCAGCAGCAGCAGCAGCAGCAGCAGCAGCAGCAGCAGCAGCAGCAGCAGCAGCAGCAGCAGCAGCAGTAGCAGCAGCAGCAGCAGCAGCAGCAGCAGATGCAGCTGGAGACGACAACACATCTGCTGCAGCGTTCGCCGTACCCAGAATGGAAGGCAGGCGGGATCGGATCCTCCCAAGGTCCATGAGCACGCCCACACGAGGCTCAGCCATCCACTCGAGCAGCATCGCTTCCGCACAGAAGAGAGGCGCCATGCTCACCTTCCACGCAAACTCCTCCTCTGGCCGGATTCCACGTCCCTCTTGTTGTAGGCGTCCCTCTTGCTGTTCCTCCTGCACCGCCAGCTCTGCCCGAATAAAGTACTCCAAATTGACTTGCTGCTCCTGCTGCTCGGGTGCTGCGGCGGGGATGCAATACGGCTGGTGTCTGCACAGGTGGCGGTAATGTACGTCCTCCAGGCTCTTTATGGCGAGTGCTCGTTGCGCTCTCTTGCTCACTGCCCGGTCAAAGCAGCACTCGCAGAGATCGCGATCCCACCCACCCGTCACGTCCAAGTAGTGAACCATGTCCGCCCGAGACAGCAGCTGGAGCGGCTTCGGGCTTTCCTCAGCTCTTGCTCTCTCTGCTGCCGTTCGGATTGTCCCGTCGGGCTGACCCGGTTCACCCTGGTCGATTTGGACGCCAGAGCAGGGTGCCCGCTGCAGTATTGCATTAGTATTCACCTTCTCTTCGAACTCCAGAAGGGACTTTGACAAGCGTGCTTCTCTCGCAGCATAGTCTACTTCATCTACCTCTTCCTCTTCCTCTCCCTCTTCCTCCTCCTCTTCCTCCTCCTCTTCCTCCTCCTCTTCCTCTTCCTCTTCCCCCTCCTCTTCGTCTTCCTCCTCCTCTTCCTCTTCCTCTTCCTCTTCTGCTTGCTCTTCCGCTTGCTCGTCCGCTTGCTCTGCTGCCCCTCCGTTTGCCCCAGTGCACTGATCTAATCCACCTTGCTCGTTCTGAAGAGTCCGCAGCCAGGCATCCACACACTTCCCCTGCTCTACCAACTCTTGAAAGGAACGTGACAAGCGTGCTTCTCTCACATCATAGTCTTCTTCCTCTTCCTCTTGCTCTTCCTCTTCCTCTTCCTCTTCCTCTTCCTCTTCAGCTTCCTCTTCCGCTTGCTCTCCTACCCCTCCGTTTGCCCCAGTGCACTGACCAAGTCCACTTTGCTCGTTCTGAAGTGCCACCAGCCAGGCATCCATACCCTTCACCTGCTCTTCCAACGTTTGAAGCTGTAACAAGTGTGCCTCCTTCACATCACCTTTCTCTTCCTCTTCCTTTTTCCTGCTACTGCCAGCGTCAGAATCAAGGCACTTCAGCTTTGCTCCTGCCGACTCGCAACTTCCATTCGTACGGCCGTCAGATCCACGGTTCGTCAGACTAGCCATGTCGGATGCTGCAATATTATGATCGGCTTGCTAAGTATCAGTCGAAGCCAGCCACTGCTGAATTAGTAATCAGATACAGCGTTTTCACTGGAACGGAAAGGCCACTGACAGTAACGGTTCTATTTCTGTCAATGACTCCTGTCAATCCGGGCGTCGATGAAACCGGTTCCTTCAGTCCAACGAGACTAATTGATCGCCGAGAGGCTAGGCTATGAGTCCAATGGGATATTGTCATCAGGCAACGCGTTTTCACCCATGATTTCCGATTCTTGCGACGCATTCCCGTTGCTCGAGCCCAGCGAGGCGTTTTCAATTGTGCACATCGTTCTAGAGAATCATCAAACCATCCCATCATGGTCAGGCGTCTGGGAAACATTAGTGTCAGATTGGATGTCGTCATAAAAACGAGATACCAAGGTTAATCAAAAATGTCACCGGAAAGGCGCGATCGGACCGTCCGTTCCTGCACAAGCCTAATCGGGTGTAGTACCCGATTCTCGACGAGGTGTCTGCTGATGTGTCTCGACATGGGACGACCTAGATTCTTGTTGTGGGGCTAGCTTCGATGTTGCCATGCCTGAAACACAAATTGCCTGATGAATCATATGTGCTGAGCTAATCGCATATCGCGTACATTGTGAGCAAGTCAGTCTGGAATTGTCAAATCAAATGTGCGTCAGAATCACGTCTCTGTCCGGGAATCTGCAGTGGGAGACGCTTCGATATACTACTATTAAGAAGTTGGGTAATGGTAGGAACGTTTACAGACTATTCAGCCTAAGGTATACTTGATGTAGATCTGCCCTTGATGTTATATAATTCATGCCCTTGCGCCAAGTTTTATCGTTACCCGAATAGTTTTCCAAAGCGGGGTTGTTCACGTTGCACTCGCACTTTAATCGTCAATACCGACCAGATTCCTGACATTGTCGCCGAGATGATATATGATCACACTTTTCAAAGGCCCAATGCGTTCTTGACATTTGTGAGATTGAATGTTGTTGCGATCAGAAGTTGATCGTACCTAGGATCACCTCAGGAAGGTTCGCACACGACTGAGTAGTGGCGGTGGGCCCGTGACCTCAATAGCAGAGTGAATATAAAATGCTTGAGATGATAAAACCATACAAATACAGCACTATAAATAAGAGTACAAGGGAATACCAATCGACCTAACTAGCCATGTACTCTAAGGGGTACATTCCCTTATTACAGCGAACTCCAACCCTGCGACTCCAGACAGTTACGAAACTGTCCGGGCAGAATCCTCGCCACTGCTGCTGCCTGATGCTGTCTGCCCGACGGTCCAGATCCTTTCGTAACCATGCGACCCTTCGCGTCACTTCCGTCCCTTCGCCTTCATTCTCGGTAGTGCGTGATTCGATTGCTGCGGTAAGGAGTGCACAGCGATATTTCAATAATCACTATTCGCAACACCCCCCTTTACTCCTGGCCGTAGCGAGTCTTGACCCGCTTGACTACTCCGCTGAGTTCGGAGCAGTGTTGGTATTGCTGACGTGACAGCTTCTTCGTGAGGAAGTCAGCTGCCATGTCGCCCGTCGGGCAGTAGGTTAGGTCAACCTTGCCCTTGTCAACCTCGTCCTTGACGAAAAAGTACCGCAGCGCGATGTGTTTGGTGCGGTTGACGAATCCTGGCTTGTTCGCGATCCTGATCGCGCTCTGATTGTCGCAGTGCAGGCGAAAGTTCGCCGAGGCTGGAATTTTCGCCTCCTGCAGCAGCTCCTGAAGGTAGAGGCCTTCGCGAACGACTGCTGTTGTTGCGATGAATTCAGCCTCCGCTGACGACAGGGCAACCAACTCCTGCTTCTGTGAATTCCAGGAGATGGGGCCGCTGGGCTCGAGGCGGAAAATGAAGCCTGTCCTGGACCGTCGAATGTCGGGGTCAGCGGCGTGATCAGCGTCTACGTAGCTGATGAGGTTGAAGGACAAGGTTGGGATGGTGGAGTAGCAGAGCCCAACATTGGGCGTGGAAATGAAGAACTGAAGTGCCCGCTGGAGATCTAGCAGATCCTCAGCCGTTGGTTTGCGGGAGTACTGAGCCAACTGGCTCGCGATGTAGGAGAGGTCGGGCCTGCAGGTAACAGATGCAAAGAGCAGGCATCCCAACTGCTGCTGGTAGGTGTGAAGCCCAGCAGGGGACAGGGCTTTGTTGTCAGGCTTGTGGTTGGGTCCTGGAGTGCGGTAAGAGGTGGAGAGTGGTGCAGGCGCAATGTTGAAGCGCTTGCTAAGCTCCTCTGCGTACTTGGCTGCTGAGAGATGAATAGCTTCCGGCGAGTAGGTGATGTTGAGCCCGAGAAACTGCTTTACGTCATGATTGCAGGTGATGTCGACGCGCCCTGCGAGGTTTTTCTCGAATTGCTCAAGCAACTCGTTGCTTGACCCTGTGTAGAGGAGGTCGTCGACGTAGACCGTGAGTAGGATGTATTCGCCGCGGAAATCGCGGCGATACATCCCAGGATCGTGAGGCAACTGCTTGAACCCAATTTCAAGCAGTATGTTGTGCAGATACTGCTGCCAGAGTCTCGGCGCCTGTTTGATCCCGTAAAGGGACTTTCGTAGCTGGCAGACACGCAAATCCCCTTTGCCGTATGTGTGTGGCTGCTCTACGTAGATCACTGCATCCACTAACGCGTACAGGAACGCGTTGTTCACGCCGATTTGTCTGAGCCAAGGTGTCGTGCTGCAGCGATGGCGAGGAGAATCCTGACGGAGGTGTGACGGCTGACCGGTGCAAATGTCTAGTCGAAGTCAATGCCGTGCCTCTGATCGTAGCCGCGCACTACCCAGCGCGCCTTGAATCGCTCGATCGTGCCGTCAGCTGCGGTCTTCACGCGGAAGACCCATTTCCCGGAAAGAATCCTCCTCCCCTTGATCGCCGCTCGGTCGACGAGCACCCAGGTGTCACGGGATTCAAGTGCCTTGATTTCCGCATCCATTGCTTCCCGCCACTCCTTGCTGTGAGGTCCCGTGAGTGCTTGGTGCGGGTTTTTCGGCTCGATGACACGTGGCGCCGTTGAGGTGGCAGTGTGGAGCCCGAGGAGCTGGAGTCCGGTGACGGTGCTGTCGTGGCGGTGCTGTGGAGTGATTTCCTGCACGTCGTCGTCATCGCTCTCAGGATCAGGTGGTGCTGGTGGTGCTGCGCCTCCGCCGCTTCCGCCTCTGCTTCCGCTTCCGCCTCCTGCGCCTGCTCCTCCTCCAGGAGAATCGTCGTCGTCGTTGTTGTCGTTGTCGTCGTTGTTGCGATCGCCTCTCGTGAACTTGCCTCTGGGGTCCTGCTCCAGAATTGCTGCTGCGGCTTCGTCCTCAGGTGAGGCGTAGCTGTGGCCGTCGTTGGCGTAGACGCGATTCGCGTTCGCCTCCTCGTCCTCACGGAATTGTCGAAGAAAGAGCTGCTCGTAGAAGACCACATCGCGCGCATTCTTGATTTTCTGGCTCAGGAGGTCCAGAACGAGCCATGCCTTGTGCTCGTGGCTGATGCCGAGGTGGATTCCCCAGCGCGCGCGGCTTGCAAACTTCCCGATAGTTGATGTCGACGGCCGATACTGCACCATGCATCCCCACACGCGGAGCATGGATGTGTCGCCCTTCCTCCCCGTCCACTTCACATGCGGTGAGGAGTTGCCGGAGATGGCGGTGGTTGAGAGCAGATTGTGCACCCACACGGCGTGGTGCATTGCGTAGGTCCAGTAGGTCGGCGGAAGCTTCGACTGCCTCATCAACGCCCGCCCCTCCGTCATGAGGGTGCGATTTGTGCGCTCAGCTACGCCCTGCTGCTGGTGTGCGTAGGGGAGAGAGATGTGGTGCTCGATCCCCTTCAGCGCGAGGTAATCCTGCAGCTCCTTGCTCCTGAATTCCGCCGCGCCGTCGGACTGCCATATCTTTAACTTCTCCCCAGATTGCCGCTGCGCGTGCGCCAGCCACAGGCGGAATGCTTCGTATGCTCTGCTGCGCGCTTCCACGTTTACGACCCACACGTAGCGCGTTCCGGCGTCGATGAAGGTGAGCGTGTAGAGTTCGTCGTTGATGCCGCAGTGTTCCACGTTGAGGAAGTCGCTGTACACCTTCTCCAGTTTGGTGTAGCGGTTGGTTCCGGGCTCTAGCAGGGGGAACGGCTGGTGGCGCAGCGCGGCTTCGGGGCAGACGGTGCAGTTGCGCGGATGTGTCGCGCCACTTACTTCGGTGCCATCAGGGCGCAGGAGTGCGCCAGGCGCGAATACGCCGGCCTCGATGCAGTTCTTCAGAGTCACGCGCGAGGGGTGACCTAGGCGCTGGTGCCAGATGGCATCGTCAGCGCGGAATCCGGAGGTACGCATGTAGCGCGCGAGTGCTTCTGCGGGATCCTCATGAGGTGCTTGAGCAGGTGTCGCCGCTGCTTCTTCTGCTTCTTCTTCTCCGTTCACCGTCGTTAACATTAGCGCGAGGAATTCCCTGTCAAGAATAATGGAGAGGGGAATATTGGTTCCAGGGATGGTTCCCGGGACGAAGGTTGGTTCGCGCGGCTCGGGGGCAGGCCCGTAGACGGTGCGTCGCGGAGTTGACGGCTCGTTCCCCCAGTCGATGGTGTCCCAAGGGTCACTTCCTGGCGGGATGTCAGGTGGGGGCAGTGCGGGTGCAGGGCGGCGCGGAGGACGACCAAGAGGAACAACAGGAGGTTCGGCCTCAATGGTCTCCTCAATTTCTTCTCCTTCCCCCCTTTGGACCTTGCGGAAGGCTCCCCAGCTGCTCGTCTCGCCGCCAGATGCGGCGCCCCATCCGCCGGTGTTGCCACCGGTGTCTGCTCCCCAGCCGCCAGTGGTGCCGCCAGTTGCGGCTCCCCATCCGCCGGTATCGCCGCCAGTGTCGCTCGTGCCCCATCCGCCAGCGCTTCCCCACCCCCCTTCATTGGAGGCGCTCTCTTCTTCGCCCCATCCGCTCCAGGTGAATGTTCCGCGTGACTCCGCAAGGCTCCGTTGGCGAAGTTCTTCCGCTTCGCGGCGCGCCAGTTCCTCCTCTTGTGCTACGGTGAGCTTCTTCGTAGAGTCGCGTTGATGAGCGTAGATCTCCAGAAATTTCTCCTGCGTGTAGGGTCGCGGATTCCCTTCCGCATCGAAGGTCCCGACGCCAATGTCGCGTAGCATTCCGTGAAGATGTTGTGATGCAGGTCCTGGGAGAGGAGCTTCCTCCGTTCCGAAAACGATGCGCGTGGCTGTCTCGAGCTCCAGGTGAGACAGCCCTTCTTCAGGCGGTGCTTCCCGCTCTGCTTCGGCGATGGCGGCAAGGCCACGGCCGGCGATCGCGCTCGTCGAGGCTGTGGGCGTATGGCAATCTTTGCAGATGCCGTCGGGGTCGGGGTCATGCAGCGCCGTTTCGCGCGGGTGTGGGTGATGCGGCACCCATGGGCGCCCATCAGGATGCTTCCAATCACGGCGGTGGATGTGTTCGAAGCGCAGCGGGACGAGATCGATCAGTTCATGCGAGTCGCCGCTGCAGTCGGGAATGTCGAAATCAAAACGTAGACTCCGTTCTCGGCGTGGGCTCGTCCGATCTGCTTTCGCGTTTTGTTCGGCATCGTGAAGTGGAGCAGGATGTCGCGCGTCTCGGGGTCGGTGCTGAGGACAACTCCGCAATCCATGAGTTGCGCCGCCGAGAGGAGATTGAAGCGCAGGTTCTGCACGATCAACACATCATTCAGTGTGATGTGCGTTCTGCTCCCATGTGCCTTGAGCACAACGATGCCTTGCGCGCTCGCGCGCAGGCGCGTGTTGTTCGCCACGGTGACATAGGTGACGGCGGGGGTGGCGACGGCGTTGGATATGTAACGCTCGGAGCCCACTATGTGCTGCCCACAGCAGCTATCCAGGTACCACGTGTTGTACTTCTTTACCTCCCCCCACAACTCTCCCTTCCCCATCCTCCACCCCCTCCCCCCCCCCCCACCAACCCCCCCCCCCCCCACCACCACCACCCACACCCCCCCCCCCCCCCCCATTCCTTTACCCAGGCGGTGAACGGGGCAACGTGCGCAAGATGTCTCTCGAGATGGGCCAGCCACTCTACGACAAGTGCCAGCGCCAGTTCCTTCCCTGCCCGGTGCATGCTCTGCTGCTGTTCTGGGCCCCTCTCCCCCTCTTCTCTCCCTCCTCTCCTCTCTCCTCTCCCTTTTTCTGCCCTCCCTCCCCTCCCCTTACAACTCTCCCTCCCCCAACCCCCACCCCCTGTTCCACCCCCTTCCCCCCTTTTTCCTCCCCCCAGGCGGTGAACGGGCTGGCCATCAACGTGCGCAAGATGTTTCTGGAGATGGACCAGCCGCTCTACGACGAGTGCCAGCGCCAGTTCCTGGAGGAGGAGGGCCGCGCTGCTGACGTGGAGGGGCTACGCGCCGCCACGTGGCAGCGCCTGGAAGAAGCAGCAGTGACGGGCGGGGTAGGGGGAGGCGGGTTTGGCGGAGGGTTGCAAGCGGGGATGGATGTGGATAGCAGAGAAGGCCGGTCGCAAGATTATGAAAACAATTTAGGATGACATGACGTGACATGAGTCACATGTCAGGGTGTAGAGTGTACCGTAGAAACCGTAGATTTTTGCTACTCCTTGTGGCTCATCATCATTTCCTTCATCGCTTGTGAATTCTCCCAGATCTTGCAGTTTGTTACAATATGAAATTACATGAGTAGGCATTCCTGTATGCTGCAGGAGCCGACTCTACCGAGTACGAAGTCGAGGAGTCAGAAGAGTCGAAGCGACGCAGCAACCGTCTGACCAAGACCGATGCAGGCAGAAACATTTGAAGTGAAAAGAGCGGGAACAGGTTTGAAACGGGTTCCCGCGCCGCACGGTTTGAATTTCGCTGCAATAAGGGAATTTACCCCTTAGAGTACCTGGCTAGTCTAGGTCTTTTCGTATTCCCTTGTTTTGTTATATAAACCCGATGTATGCATGCTTTTATCAACTCAGTCATTTACATTCACTCTGACCTGAGATTCAAACTTCCGCTGCAACACTACTCTGCGATCAACCCTGAGCGATCCTTCGCTAAGTCCCACTTGTGATTGTAACATGGTATGAGAGCTACTCAGGGATTCTTCGCAACTTCACTTCCGTGAAATTCGCCGAACCAAAATCTGGCGAGCGGCACTCGCTCCAAGACCAAGATGGCCGGAGGATCCAGAGGCCAAGCAAATCTGACGGCTGAAGGACAAACCAACCCGGCTGCGACAAATGAGGCGACAACTACGATCGGCACTGCCGCACTCGAGCAGTTATTCGCTCGACTTTCAACTATGGAGAAAGAACTCCAAGATTTGCGCAAAGGCGATGCGGGAACCTCTTCCCATCCAGCTCAACCTGGACAACCGGCTACGAAAAGCCGTGATACCGCCGCGCTCACCTTCTCCCTCGACACGGACAAATCAACAACAACTGCCCCCCGTCCAAGTGATGAAGTCATTAACTCTGCGCAAGCACGCTTTCTCAGCGTTTCAAAAATCAAGACTACTTCCGCATTTGACGGCAAAGATTTTTACACATGGAGTTTCGAGCTTGAGCTCCTCCTACAGACAGCGCAGATCTACCATTACTTCGACGGCTCCTATTCTAAACCGGTGGACGACACCGACGACGCCAGGGCTCAGTACTACAGCGAGTCCCTCATGGCGTATAGTGTGCTGCTTCGCAACATGACGCCTGCAGAGCAACTAAGCATCCGCTCCTACAAAGAGAGCGCCGCTCCAGCCTTGGAAGCCTGGAAGCACCTCGTTGAGGTTTATCAGCCGAAGGACTTGGTTACCGCCAGCAGGCTCCTGCAGCAACTCATGGAGACAAAGATGGGGCACGGGGAGAAAGCGAATTCTTATATTAACCGCTGTCGCAACATCCGTGACCAGATCACGAAGCATGGGAGCGCAATCTCGGAAGAGATCTTCGTCAACATAGTCCTTCAAGGACTCGGGCCAGAGTGGAAGCCCTGCAAAGCGCTACTCCGACAGCGAGGAATCATCTCTGAAGTCGCGCTATGCGCCGCACTCCTGACTGAACAGCAGGACATGGACTCGAGCAGAACAAGCTCAGCGCCGCGCCGAGAGCGCCTCGCCTTCTACGCTGACAACCGTGAAGAGCGACGACAACCAAGGCGCCACTATTGATGCAAAGTCTTCGGACATTCAACGGATCGATGCAAATCCCGATCCAACTATCGCCACCCAAACTCCACTCACCACAACAACTGGGTCGGCCGACAAGATGCTAGTCATCCTCAGTCTCAGCAACAGACATCTCGTCCTACTGCACAACGTCAACATCAGCAAACACAAGGACCTCAATCAGGAGCTCCTATAAACATCATCGCAAATATGGCGACGCGCCGACGTCGCACTGCTGAACCTGACGAAGAGAATGAGATTCAAGGAAGACTCCTTGAACCAGAAGAGGGTTGGAATAATCCCCTCACTGAAGATCACTATTACCTGTATGACGAAGCCGAGCAGGATTGGAATCAACCAATCACACCGCGGGAAAGCCCGCCACACAACAACCAACAATACGTACCTGTGGGGTGGAAGGAAGACGAAGACCCCCTCTTTCACAGGCGCTACAAGGCAACTCTGGTGACTCCGCGATTGGCGCTACTTCTGCGCAGATCCAACACCGACAACCACAACTCCTGGTACTTGGACAGCTGCTGCGGACAGCACATGGTGGGATCCACGCGATACGTCTCGAATCTGAGCCGCGCGCCCGCAACTTATGTCACCGTCGCCAACAACGAGCAGTTGCGCGCCAATGCGCAAGGCATCGTGGTCCTGCAAGCGCGAGACAGCAACACACACATCTCGTTCAACGACGTACTCTACGTCCCAAATCTTCGTTTTAATCTCCTCTCGGCAGGACAACTTCGCGACTGCGGCGTCATACTCACCACGGACCTAGCCACACGCGATCTCATCCTCACCTACGCTCCTCCGGACACCCCTCCCGAGTCATTCAAATACCTCGGACGAGCCCGCTCAATCAACGGAATTTACGTCCTAGACTTCGACGTACTCTCCTGCCAAGCATCATCCGATGAGCTCGTGGACCTCGTCCCTCTCGAGTTCGCCTACATGGGCAAATGGGAGCACCCAGACGGACGACCATAGGTTCGCCGCAGCCCCCATCCCTGCGAGATCAATCTGCACGAGCCAGACCTCAATGGTCTCTGCACCACCTGCCACACACCCACTGCGAGCCGCACGGAGCAAGTCGAAAAGGAGTACGCGGCAATCCAGGAAGCAAAGAGTGCCGAGGCAGAACCTACGGGCATGACACAAGAAGAGCTTGCCGTGACAACTCATCGCATCTTCGGCGAACCAAACGACGACTTCGGGCAAGTGCGTGTCGAAAGACCAACACCGTATGCAGAAACGCTCCGGTTTATTTTACGAGCTAACACCGGCACCTACGACAAGGAGGGACGCCCACGCCCCTACCCTCGCGACGTCTACCGCACGGAGATCGACCCAGCTTGGAAGGATCCTGACGCAACAGGGGAGCTGAGCGTCAAGAAGAACAAGACAAGGACCGGGCGGAAAAGAAACAGAAACTGTATGAGCAACGCGTCGCGGATGGCTGGGACGAGGAGTTAGCACGACGAGGCGCATGGGGAGACGAAGATTACAAACCAGAAGAAGGCGCAACCTGGGCATCCGCCACTGGAGCATGGGGAGCCAGCGCCAGCGGCACGGTCACCACGGGAGGATGGGGCAACACCGGTGGATGGGGGGGAGACGAATACGTGGACGCTCCACTTACCAAAGAAGAAGAAGAAGAGATGGAACGAGAGATGCAAGCTGAGCGCGGAGAACAGTCTCCTCGTGTCACCATTCCACTCGGTCGACCCCCGCGCATCCACTCACCTCCCTCCTCCCCCTATCGGTGGCGTGATCCTTGGTCGGAGATTGAGGAGGGGAATGTACCGCCAACTCCCCCTCGTGACTCTCTTGGTCCAATCTCCCGCCCAGATCCGTTCGCTCGGTTCATTGAAGGCACCACGACCCCTCTCACCATCATCCCCGACCGCGAATTTGTCGCCCTCTACCTCACAACGGCACCTGCAGAAGGGGAGACAACGGCGGAAGCAGAAGCAGAGGAGCCGGACAACGAAGCGGAACCAGGAGAAGAGGAAGAACCCCCACTTCAGATCCTGCAAGTTACGGAAGCAGAAGCAGCAGAACACTACGCTCGCTACAAGCGCACCTCCGGCATTCGTGCCGAAGATGATCTCTGGCACCAGCGGCTGGGACACCCCTCGCGCCAGACCCTCGCCAACTGCCTCCGCGCTAAAGTTTTTCCGCCAGGAGCACTGCTGCGCCCCGACGGAACAGAACCACATAACACCCCTCACCCAGTCACTTGCACTGTCTGCCCTACAGCTGCGCTCTCCCACAGCGCCTACCCCTCTCTGGAGCCGAGCACCAACCGCTACAAGAAGCTGGAGAAAGTATACAGCGACTTCATCGTACTCACCTTCGACGGTATCAACGGCGAGAAATATACCCTCACCTTCATCGACGCCTACTTGCACCATGTGTGGGTCGCCAACGTCGACGCTGTGAAGATAGTAGGTAGAGTTAGGAGCCATAGCTAGGTAAGTCCTAGCTAGGCAAGAGAAGTTTAGGCAAAAGAAGAAGAGGGAGTTCACTAGAAAGCAGCAGAATACATATAGGAAACCCTAAGGGGTTGTACTCGCTATAGAGTACCCCACTGCAGGCTAGAGAACAATGACATTCTGACACACCCCCATAGCCAAAGTGGGGTGTAATCAGCAGAGCAAGCAAAGCAGAACAAGCTCAGGGTGGATCACAATGTCACCACACATTCTGAGCACAAGTACAAGAAGCAATAGTTTAAAGTTCACAATTATGAGCAAAGCTAGAGGCTATCGCAGAGGGCAAGTGAGGAGGAGGAGGCGAGAGTGAGAGGAGAGGAGATAGGAGGCGACGGCTGAAGCTGCAGACACACGGGCAACAGGAGTCACACTGGCACAGCGGCTACCGGAACAACGCTCCGGACTACTGGAGTAACTGGCTCCGCGGCTAAAAGTAGCGGCAGACGAGCAACGGACCCACGGGCGACTGGCACAGCTGGCTGCGACTGGGCTACCGGAGCAACTCCCCGGACTACAGGTGCTGCTGGCGACACGACGGCAACCTCAGTTCAACCTCCCCAAACAGTCCCACTCCCCCCGACACACACCCCCTGCTTCACCCCTAGCTCCACTCCCCCTTCACCCCCCTTAGTACCACTCCGACGGCTCCAACAGGTCCACCCCCCTCAGCGGCAGCTGCAGCACTGGGAGACGGAGGAGGAGGAGGAGCAGGGGACGGCACACAGAAGCTGCACCCCCAGACCCCCCACCCCCAAACCCTAATTCAGGAGAACGGGCAGCAGCAGGGGTGGGGCGCCATCAGAAGCACGGGGGACAGCGGGCAGCGCAGGGGCAGCGAAGAACGGGCCGCCCACGGGCCTGGCACAGCCGCCCGAACCGC